AAGCAGGGGGAGGGGCAGAGGGAGAGGGAGAGGGAGAAGCAGGCTCCCCACTGAGCAGGGAGCCCATAGGGCTCAATCCTGGGACTCTGGGATCATGACCTGAGCCAAAGGCAGACAGACATTTAACTGACTGAGCCACCCAGGCACCCTGGGTCACTTTTCTTCTTAAGGCAATCTCAGAAGTACATTTTGTGTAGCAAACTCCTACACAAGGTCAGTCACAGCATTGGCATGAACTTAAAGTGACCATTATACTACTCTGAAAGTCCAACAGGTGTGTATTACAAAATGTTGTAAGAAGATAAGCAAGGCCACTCACTTTGTGCAAATATAAAAGTTAGCCTGGCATTTCAAAGTTCAGAAATTCCAAGACCACAGGAAATTAAAAAATGCCCAGTGGCCACCCCCCCACCCCCACTCCTCATCACCCCCCCCACACCTAGGTCAAACAAAGTTCCCCTGTGTACATTCAGTTCTTTGAAATGCACTCTTGAATTATTTTAAATTCTACTCTTTAAATTCAGGGACTGAGCTGGTTAATTCTCTTGATAAAAAGAAGGTAAAGCCTGCTCAAGAAGCCTGGAGGTGTTAAAAGTCTAGACTTGCCAAGCAAACAGTTTGGATTATTTGCATTACAAAGCAGTTATTTAAAGTGGTCGCTCCTCCGGTGCACTTAAGTCTCTTATGGATCATTAACTGCTTGAGAGAACAGGGTAACAGAGTGAAGTGGAATAGCCATTTCCAGGTAAAACTGCTTCTTTTTCAGAAAGGAAAAATAAATAGAAAGACTCTCAGAGACTCTCACATTTCCTCAAAGGGGAAACGAAGTCCTATTTACAGAAAGCTCTCAGGAACAACACGCTGTGGAAAATAAGGCACAGAGCCATAGGACAACCGGTATTTGTTGCACTCAGCAACAGGCCAGACTGTGGACCAGGTGCATTATGTGTTATTGCATTTAATTCTTCAAACACCCGTAACGTGTGGTATTCTCAGCCCCACTTGCTTGATGCAGAAAATTAGGCTCAGAGAGTTGCAGTGATGGTCAAGATGGTTCAGACCTGAAATCTGTTCAGGAAGGGGTCTGTGCTTTTTCTGTATTGGGCGACGCCAGGCCAAAAACCGGGAGAAGCTGTTGGTGTTAACCAGAGCAACCACCTCACAACTGACACACTTTCCCCTCCATTTTTTTTACCTACTCTTTTTTTCTTAAAAAGTTGGGTAAATTTCTTAAAAAAAAAAAGAATAATTTTACAGAGTGTTTAACATGGCAATAAATGAGAAAAATCAATATTATTACCCACTCTAAGAAAAATAGTTGTCTCTCTATTGGTATCTTTCCTAGACCTATAGAATTATAGTTTGCATTATATCAGTGGTCTGGGTGGCTCAGTTGGTTAAGTGCTGGACATTTGACACTTGATTTTGGCTCAGGTCATGATTTCAGGGTGGGGAACTTGAGCTTGGGGTGGGGCTTGCTTTGCTGCCCCTCCCACCCCCAAGACGCTCCCAAGCACTCTCTCTTTAAAAAAAAAAAAAAAAAAAGATTTATACATTTGCATTATATAGAATTATGGGTTATAGGAGTTGGGGGGGGGTAAGAGTGATGGTAAGAAATAAAGGCAACTATATCCAAACACCTTTGATTTAAATATGATACAGGTTATGTAATAAGATGGAGGCATATAGATGAATTTTGGTTGCATACTGACCTAGATGAAGGCATGCAGTTGGTGCATTAGATTATCATTGGCCTGGGAGAGCTTGGGAGTTCCAGTATTCCACTTTGCCATTCCCTTTTTAGGCATTATAATCAAGAGGTCTGTTTGCTGCCTCACGGGGCCAAGGGGTGACAGCTTGGTTTTAGGAATCAGATTCTCTGCTGCCAAAACATCAGAGATTGTGAAAAACCGGATGCTATTTGTTACATAATGCAGATTTCATGGTAATTTTCATACATGAGCAAAAAACATGGACAACTTGTTGAAACAAAGAGGGAGTCAAGATTTGGAGTAGGAAGACCTGGCTTCAGGTCTCGGTTCTGGCCTCGCTGCCCATACCAGACTGGTCTGGCCTGAGCCTTGCTGATGGAGTACTTGGAACAGAAATGCTAAATAAATGTTAACTATTTCTTCTTATTGTTAGATATTCAAACAAAACCCCCTTACAACAATATTCCCTTTGACGTGATCAAAGGCAAAATCATATAATGTTGAACTGTATCATTGTCAAGATATGTCCTATGGAGTTGTTGCCTATCCCACAATACCCAGAACACGTCCACCAGTTCAGTGGCTCAGTCATTAGAAATGTAACCATTTTCTGTCATTTTTAGGCTCTGAAGGTAACTTCATAGAAATCTAATTTGATTTAGTTATATACTTACTGGTTTTTAGAATTAATCCATTAACTTTCAAATTTCTACTACTTTCGCCCTTCCTTATGTCCGTCCCCTTCCTTCTCCTTCCCTTTCTTTCTCTTCCCTCCTTGTCCTCCCTTCTCTCCCTACACCTTTTGCTTTGCTTTCCCCTCTTCTGCCTCTACCCTACTTCTTTATCTCTCCCCGGTTTAGTCTCTGGCTGTCTCTCAGAAGCTGTGTTAGGCCAGGCTGAACACAGATACCCATCAGAAGCAGTCCCTACCCACAGTTCAAGAGGAGTGATAAGGTGACAGGTAAAGGTTCAAGTACCCTGATATTTTAGGGGAAAGAGGAATTGAAGAGGTTCCCATAATGTGAAATTTGAGCTGGACCCCATAGGATGGTTAGGGTCTAGCCTTATGAAGGCTTAAAGAGAGTAAAGAAGGATGTGTAATCAAGGCTGAGGAAGCTAAAGGAGCAAAGCCATGGAGGTGGGCTTCTCCTGAGGAAAATCAATGTAAGAGATTAGCTCCAACAACAAGTGTATCTTCTGCTCTTGTCCTTTTGCAGCAGCAGCTGGTATACTCTTCCCCACAAACGTGGGTTTGGTGGAGAAAACTCCCAGCTCTGATCTACATTCCTTAGGCATCACATTATTTTTCAGGCTGGACTTCCCTTGCCATCCTTCCTAGCTCCTGAGGTATCCCAGTCATCCTAGTGGATTTTATGCATAAGATTTACCCATTCCATTTAATTCTTTTGGACTTTGACATCGTTTTTAGTTGTTTAAAATTGTTCATGTAAAAATGATGAACATCTTTTTGCACAAATGTGGGTTTTTTTTAAATGTTTATGGTTATTCTTTAGGGGTACATTTCTAAAAATAAAATTACAAGGTTATAAATATGATTTTTAAAAATAAATCATATGTAACTGTCAAATTTGCTTTTTTAAAAAGACCTCACTAACCTGTGGGGATGCCTCTCTAACAATACCTTTATCATTTTGAAAATATTGCCTATTTTTGTACACAAACTATGGGTCTTCATTGTTTTCACTGGATTTCTATTACTTATTAACCCAACCTTCAATATTCACATTTCACCTTTTTGTCTTTTCTGAATTGTTATTTCAGTTTTACTCCCAGTGTTTGTCTTCTAGTTTGCACCAACAAAGTATTAACCCTTCATTGTATATGTTACAAATACTTGCCTGTCATATTTTTCTTGTCATTTACATATAAGAGTAAAACTTTTTTAATGCTTACATAGTAAAATAAATCAGTCTTGTTTTTTCTGAAAAAAAAAAAAAAAAAAAAAAAAGATTTGCTCATTCCAGATAATAACCACAGTTATTACTGTGTCTGTCTCTGAGGTACCATTGTAGTACCTGTTACTCAATCCAGCGCCACTCATTCTAGTTTTATTCTGTGATGAAGTCAGCAGTGAACTTCAAAGGAAGAGGTTTCAGTTAAGATCATGAAGGAAGGTACCTTCTTGAATCCTACCTATGCTAACCTTTTGACGGTTACCTTTGGGCGCCTTTAATCCATGCATTCAGTCACGGACAAACATCCATTCATTCACTTTCACTGAGCAGGTCACAGTTCTCCATATGGACAGGGATATAAGGGACAATAAAACATGTTTTCTACCTTCCAGTGGTCTAGGTGAACTAAGAGAATACAAAGCAAACACTGAGTAAGATGGAACTGGAGGGGGTTATGCTAAGTGAAATCAGTCAAGCAGAGAAAGACAATTATCCTATGGTTTCACTCATATGTGAAACAGTAGGAATAGCACAGAGGGCCACAGGGGAAGGGAGGGAAAACTTAATGGGAAGATATCAGTGCCTGAGACAAACCATCGGAGACTCTGGACTCTGGGAAGCAAACTGAGGATTTCAGAAAGGCGGGAGGTGGGGGGGATAGGGTAATCATGTGTTGGGTATTAAGGAGGGCATGTGTTGTGATGAGCACTGGGTGTTGTACACAACTAATGAATCCTTGAACACTACATCAAAAACTAATGATGTACTATACAGTGGTTAACTGAACATTAATAATAATAATAATAATAATAATAATAAAGAAAGTGATTAGGAGCACAAGAGAGAGCAGTTAGGATCTTTGGGAGTGAGGATAGTGATAGTCCCCCACCCCCAAATGGTGTTACAGGGGCTGTCCTGGAAGAGGTAGAATCGAAGTTAGGTCTGGAAGTCCTGGGATGCTTTGATTGATCTGGTTTCCCCATCCTCAGAAACCCGCAGAAGCCCTTTAGAGTGCTTGCTTTTTGCCTTTTTTTTTTTTTTTTCTCTGTGAAAATTCGCATCTGGCTGTGGCCTCACGGATTGAAGGGTAAGAGGGGAAACTAGCTCTTTTCTGGGAATCCACCTCCCTACCCCTGAATTTTGTTATATAGGGCATTGCCTCATAGTCACATCCAGATTCTTCAATAAATGATAACAGGCTTTTTCCTTCAAGGCTTTATATCTACTAGTGTTCAAGGGCATGTAATTTTGTGTAGAATGTTTATTAACTCCATAAACTTGCAGGATTATATTAAAATGATGTTTCCTATGTTGAATTTTAGCCTGATGACTTCTCTCATCTTCATGGGGGTTTTGGTGTCTATTTCCTCAGGATGAATTCCAAACTTACTCACGGAAAAAGGTAATGTGGATCCACCTGTCATCATTAAACAGCGAGTTAGGTGTCACTCCTGACCACCCTGTCATTACAGATGAGGAGTACATCATAAATAGAGCCATCAGAAAGCCAGACCTAAAGGTAAGTAAACTATGGTAACTGCTCATGCTAGAGAAATGTAATCTTTCTCCCCCGAAATATAAGTTTAGATCCTCCACTGTGCTAATCCTCTACAGTATGCATAGAACATTATAAAGAACATGCACTTTGGAGGTAGACAGAGCTGAGTTCAAATCTCAGCTTCATCTTTCTAAACTGTACAGCCTTGGACCTGTTACTAAGCTCTGTTGAACCTGTTTCCTCATGTATGGAATGATGATGACAATGCCTACCTCTACTGTTCATTGATGACATTCAATAAGTTAAGGAACACAAAGAATAATATGGTGCCAGGTGCACAGTAGATGCTCAGTACACATTAGCTCTTAGTACCATCAGACCTTGTGTGATAATGTATGAAACAGGGTTTCTCTTACTTAAAGGTAATCGCCCAGAAACATCCTAGGGTCTTTTCTTAGGTCTCCAAAATGACCTTATTTTGAGTTCTGTCTTTCAAAAGTGTATTTGGTTACTCCCAGTTCTCCATATTAAATTAATACTACTTGGATTATGACTAGCTAACATTCATAATAAAGTCATAGTTTATAAGACAACTGTTTTCTCTTAAATTTATGTATGTGTAGACAGCTGTTAAGTTTTATGAGCTCAAGGTCAATTTTTAAAATAATAAAAGTCAATTTCTGAGCAGTTTCTCTATTGTCAATTGTTATCATCCAGTTGTCTTAATTTCCTAAAAAAACAAAAACAAAAGAGGTCAAACACCTTCAACTAACAGGTGGTTATTCACCTGGGTAAGTAGGCATCCCAAATCAATTTTATGTACCTGAGATTGTTATTGACCTCCACCTTTTCTAATTGCATCAAACAAATAAGAGAACAACAAGATAAAGAAATGCTTAAATAATCAAAATGTAAAGAAGTGACAGAGGTCCTGAAATGCAAAGCCCTGGCCCCAGGCTTGATATCTTCATTTATCACATATGGCTTAGAGAGTTTGGCTAATTACTGCCTCTCTGAGCCTTGAGCTTCTTGCTTATAAAACAAGAACAATAACTCCTGTGCCTGTTTCTCAGGCCCTTGTAAACCTAAGATGAGACATCAAGGTGATTTGTGAACCGTCCTGAGCTACATTCATAAAGGACAGAAACTTTCACTGAAATTGAGGGAGGTTCCACTGGCTCAGCCATGACAATACTGAATGGGACAGTGAGACGAGCAACAGTACGGACAGGACAACCTTTCAGGCCCTGCAGGGAGAGTTTGGAGACCTGCGGCAAAAGAGCTCTGTCAGGCTTACAAATGCAGGCTAAGAGGAGACTCTAACAGGCTTACAAATGCAGGCTAAGAGGAGACTCTAAGGATCATTGTGGGATCACAGGCAAAAGGAAAACCTAGTGCCTAACCTGTTAAACAGGATGCTCTCACAACGTGTTCCAACAAGAAACGAGGAGCAGGAAGCCTGGGGAGAGACAAGGTTCCTGGTTCTGAGCAGAAAGATGACAATCACCCCACCGCACACCCCTGATGTCCTAATTACTATTTCCTGGTCTGAAGTTCCAGGATATGGGCAAAGAAACTCCACCCCATGCAAATATTGTACTTCGCATCCTCTTACTTGCGTCCAGAGCCTCTGAAGGGGATAAGGGAAGCAGAGAGACTCCAGGCAGAGATAATTCCTGCTAGGGGAATGTTAAAGATATTTGAAAGGTCTTTGATGGGATCATTGTTCTCACTCTGTGATGAATGGACTCAAGAAATTATCAGGAGATAATGGAGCTTTCTATTTTCTGGCCTGAGGTAAAATTTACCAGTAACCTCTTTATTCTCCGTTATTGTTGCCCTCACCTGTTAATGTTCTGTGTCCATTATATTTTATTAGCTTCTCGATGTCAGTGTGGATTTAGGCTCCCTAATGGAGCAGAGCCCTCACATTCTCCCACAGCTTGCCCTTTAAACATGTTCTGACTCAAAATTTTGAACCTAGGGAATTAATAAAGGAGGCAACCCTCACTTTCTTCAGCTTGAATCTTGGCAGTGATGGGATTTTTCAGATCTTCTTCTGAGACTTGTTTGAACATCATATCCTTTGAGAGACTGGACTTCGGAGCCAGATGGGTTTGATCCCCCAAATTTGATCCCCGCCTCTTAATAGGTGTGTTCTTTGGCAAATGATTTAATCAAAATGAACTTCAGGGATGAAGGATGGAGTAAAGATGAAAGTAATGCCTGTTGTGCCAGAGGATGATGAACAAGACTAAAGAGAATGTGTGAAAGGCCCCCAAGTCCTCAACAGACAGTAGCTGTGAGTACAGTCCAGCTCTGCTTACAGAATTACAGGGCCTGAACAGGAATGGCAAGTGTGAGGCAGGAAGCGTGAAGTCTCAACGTGGGCTATGACCGCCTTCACGCACTTTTTCCTTACTCCATCTTGAAGCTTGTGAAGAAAGAATCACTCCCAGTGGCAGTGCACTCTAACTTTATAGATTGAAAATCAATTGGAAAATAGGATTTAGTTTTTAAAGTTATTTTGCAACCAGTCTTGCTGAAATAAGTCTATTCTGTAAAATAAAACGTACAGCATTTAACACTCTTACTGGGTAACTACGAATATGTGTGTGTGTGTGTGTGTGTGTGTGTGTGTGTATGTGTGTGCATGTCCATGTGCACACATATATATTTATCGAACAGTGTTGAGATTCATTTAGTGTAACCCAGGTGTTGAAGCTTAGGGATTTAATCTCTATTTCTGGTTGTCATGTGGTTGTACAAAGCATTCATTCACTTATTTACAAAAAAATGTGTTGGACCCTTATTATATTTCAGCTATATGCTCTACCCAGTTCTAGAATTTATCTAACCTTTATATGGACTATCCTATTCATGGGTATAGAGCATACTCAGAAGAGTTGCAGTGGATAATCAGCTCAATTGCCTCAATTTATTCATGGGGAAACTTATAGAAAAATTTACTTGAATTTCTGAAGGACACAATTATTAGAGAAGCTGTAAAAGGAAGAACACTGTTTCTCAACTTTGCACAATAGAACTATCTGAAGAAAATGTAAGAATATTTATGGCCAGGTTGCAACACAGACAAATGAAATAGGAATCACCTGGGGGTGGAACCCGACATTAGTATTTTTTAAAGCTTGCTAGTTAATCCCAGTGGGCAAAATGAGGTTATAAGCATGGCTCCATAACCATATGACAGTTTCGCTTTGTGATCAGTTGCATTAGTTACATCACTAGGTGACAGAGATTCAGATGTGCATATAAAGTTGCTTAAAGAAATTCAGAAACAAGAATGCCTAATTGCCATCAGCATGAACCTTACTTTCCCTTCTTACTGCCCACACCCTTAGACCCTCACTTCCTGGAGCACATTTTCTTGCAATAGCCTGCTCACTGTCTTCTAGAACCTTCTCCCTGTCTAATCTTTGTCATTGTCTCCTCTGTAGTTCTCTCTGCAAGTCCATTGTCTACAAGAAAATGCCCTAGATATCTCATCCTAGCATTTAAGGCTGTACGTTCTTTATTAATTTATCTTTATCTTTCTAGACTCATTCTCCAGTCTGTAGTCAAATGGGCCCCCTCATTTGTCCCTCCCCATGACTAACTTGTGCATAATCTCTTTGAAATGCTCTTTTTCCTTCTCATCTGAGCAAAAGTCTTCCAACCCTTCAGGGCTGCAGCTCAGATGTCATCTCCTCCATGATGCCTTCAGACATCTGTCCTCTCTATATTTCTACATTTCAGTACTACAAATTTTACTTTATTGTATTTTTATTTGTTTGACATGTATATGTTTGACTGTATGGTATAGTTTTCTCTCTCTGTTTTTTTGAGATTGATTTTTATTTATTTGAGGGAGAGAAAGAGAGAGAAAGAGGGAATGTATGAGCAGGAGAAGGAGGGTCAGAGGGAGAGGAAAAGAGAATCTCAAGTAAACTCCAACCTCAGTGCAGAGCTCTACCCGGGACTCCACCACCTCACAATCCTGAGATCGGGGCCCTGAGATCACGCCCTGAGCCAAAACCAAGAATCGGCCACTTAACCGACTGCACCACCCAGGTGTCCCTAGTTTTCTCATTTGTAGCATTTTTTTCCCTTGTTGGGTTATCAAATAGTGGAATGCAGAGACTAAGTTTTAGTCACATGCTTATCCATATAGTAGGCCCATGATACACACTGACTGAATAACTTCTAATAAAGAAGGCCACTTGTGTTATTAGGGAAGGTTGAGGTGAGTTAGAAAGGATCATTTTAAATATATTAGGGCTCTATCCTTGCTTCTTCCCCCGATGCTTCTTTAGCTACTGAACTGCTATGTATTTACAAATCCTTGAACTAGAGACTTTCTTAGTACTTTTCTTTTGCAGGTGAGATGCATAAAAGTGCAGAAAATAAGATATGTTTGGAACAACTTAGAAGAACAGTTCCAGAAAATTGGGTAAGTTGTTTTGGCAGTTTCATTCAAAAGAGAGAAATTTATCTTGAAAATATTATTTCTAAATATGTCTTTCTCATTATTGTTATTTCAGTTGTTTGGAAGACTGGCTCAGTTCTGCCAAGATACATCTAAAATTTGGATCAGGTCTAACAAAAGAAGAACAAGAGATTAGGTACCATGCCTCCTGTTATCTACATCAGCTCCAAAGGACAGTTACCATTAGCAAATAGAGAGCCCAACACATCGTTATCTTAGCTGGTCAATATCAGAAAACCTTGTAATGCTCTATTCAGTATGGTTAAATTAAATGCATGCACATATATTATTTCACTTCATTAGAGCAACCTTGTGGGGGAGGTAGAACAAATGTCCTTATCCTCCCAGTGTAACACATGAGAAATCTGAGGCTCACAGAGGTGTGATGGCCCAAACAAGGTCACACAGATGGGAGGTAAAAGAAGAAGAGGAAGGGCACAGTGTGGAATGTTTAGAATCTCAAAATCTCACGGTGTGGTTTTGAGTCGGTAACCTCTCATCTCTGGGATTTGGTTGCCTAATTATTAATGAGGCAAGGAGGATTCTATAAAGTTCTTGCTGGTCCTAAGTTTCTATGATTCTCACATTCTCCTCCACCCTGTTTCTTAGTAATTGGAGGGACCTAGAGCCTTGTCATCAGCATCACCTAGAAACTCGTTAGAAATTCAGAATCTGGGTGCACCTGGGTGATTCGGTTGGATAAGCATCTTCCTTCAGCTCAGGTCATGATCTCAGGGTCCTGGGATCAAGTCCTGCATCAGGCTCCCTGCTCAGTGGGGAGCCTGATTCTCCCACTCCTCTCTGCTGCTCCCTGTGCTTGTGATCTCTCTCTCTTTGTCAAATAAATAAATAAAATCTTAAAAAAAAAAAAAAAAGAAACGCAGAATCTTAGACCATGCATCATCCTTATTGAATTAGAGTCTTCACATTAACAAGATCATGAAGTCATCTGTATGAACATTAAAGTTCAGGAGGCACTGCTCTAATGTATTTGCCCAATCTATTTGATCGGAAAGTCTATATAGAAGGCAAGGAGAGAGTGGTTGGTGTTCTCAACAGCAAAATAACTCTTAAGCGGTCATTGTTCTGCATAATCAGAGATACATAGCTCTAGGTTTTCAATTAAAGAGCTATGTAACTGTGTGTGAGAGCTATTTTTGAGATCCCAACAACTTTTCTTTCTTTTTAAAAATTTTTTAAAATTTTTTATTAACATATAATGTATCATTTCCCCCACGGGTATAGGTCTGTGAATCATCAGGCTTACACATTTCACAGCACTCAGCATAGCACATACTCTCCCCAATGTCCATAACCAAGCTACCCTATCCCTCTGCCACCCACCCAACCCCCCAGTAACCCTCAGTTTTTTCCCGAGATTAAGAGTCTCTTATGGTTTGTCCCCCTCCCAATCCCATCTTGTTTCATTTTTTCCCTCCCTATCCCCCATGACTCCCTGCCCTGCCTCTCAAATTCCTCATATGAGAGAGATTATATGATAATTGGCTTTCTCTGATTGACTTATTTCGCTTAACATAATACCCTCTAGTCTTATCCACATCATTGCAAATGCAAGATTTCATTTTTTTGGTGGGCTGCATAATGGTCCATTGTGTACATACACCACATTGTCTTTATCCCTTCAGCTGCTGATGGACATCTATGTTTTTTCCATAGTTTGGCTATTGTGGACATTGCTGCTAGAAATATTTGTGTGCACGTGCCCCTTTGGATCCCTACATTTGTTATCTTTAGGGTAAATACTCAGTAGTGTGATTGCTGGATTGTAGGGTAGCTCTATTTTCAACCTTTTGAGGAACCTCCATGCTGTTTTCCAGAGTGGCTGCACGAGCTTGCATTCCTACCAATGGTGTAGGAGGGTTCCCCTTTCTCGGCATCTTCGCCAACATCTATCATTTCCTGACTTGTTAATTTTAGCTGTTCTGACTGGTGTGAGGTGGTACTTCACTGTGGTTTTGATTTGTATTTCCCTGATGCCGAGTGATGTTGAGCACTTTTTCATGTGTCTGTTGGCCATTTGGATGTCTTCTTTGCAGAAATGTCTGTTCATGTCTTTTGCCCATTTCTTGATCGGATTCTTTGTTCTTTGGGTGTTGAGTTTGATAAGTTTATTATAGATTTTGGATACTAGCCCGTTATCTGATATATCATTTGCAAATATCTTCTTCCATTCTCTCATTTATCTTTTGGTTTTGTTGACTGTTTCCTTTGCTGTGCAAAAACTTTTGATCTTGATTAAGTCCCAATAGTTCATTTTTGTCCCTGCTTCCCTTGCCTTTGGCGATGTTTCTAGGAAGAAGTTGCTGCGACTGAGGTCGAAGAGGTTGCTGCCTGTGTTCTTCTCAAGGAATTTGATGGATTCCTTTCTCACATTGAGGTCTTTCATCCATTTTGAGTCTATTTTTGTGTGTGGTGTCCACACACAAAATGGTCCAGTTTCATTCTTTTGCATGTGGCTGTCCAATTTTCCCAGCACCATTTGTTGAAGGGACTGTCTTTTTTCCATTGGACATTCTTTCCTGCTTTGTCGAAAACTAGTTGACCGTAGAGTTGAGGGTTCAATTTCTGGGCTCTCTATTCTCTTCCACTGATCTATGTGCCTATTTTTGTGCCAGTACCATACTGTCTTGATGACTACAGTTTTGTAATAGAGCTTTAAGTCTGGAATTGTGATGCCACCATATTTGGTTTCCTTTTTCAATATTCCTCTGGTTATTCAGGGTCTTTTCTGGTTCCATATAAATTTTAGGATTAGTTGTTCCATTTCTTTGAAAAAAAAAAAGGTTGGAATTTTGATAGGGATTGCAATAAATGTGTAGATTGTTTTAGGTAGCATAGAAAGTTTCACAATATTTGTTTTTGCAGTCCATGAGCATGGAATGCTTTTCTATTTCTTTGTGTCTTCCTCAATTTTTTTCATGTTTACTTTATAGTTTTCTGAGTACAGATGCTTTACTTCTTTGGTTAGGTTTATTCCTAGATATCTTATGGTTTTGGGTGCAATTATAAATGGTATTGACCCCTTAATTTCTCTTTCTTCTGTCTTGTTATTAGTATATAGAAATGCAACTGATTTCTGTGCATTGATTTTATATCCTGACACTTTACTGAATTCCTGTACGAATTCTAGCAGTTTTGGGTGGAGTCTTTTGGGTTTTCCACATAAAGTAACATTTCATCTGCAAAGAGTGAGAGTTTGACTTCTATGCCAATTCAGATGCCTTTTATTTGTTTTTTGTTGTCTGATTGCTGAGGCTAGGACTTCTAGTACTATGTTGAATAACAGTGATGATATTGGACATCCATGCCATGTTAGGGGAAAGCTCTCAGTTTTTCCCCATTGACAATGATATTTGTTGTGGGTTTTTCATAGATGGCTTTGATGATATTGAGGTATGTACACTCTATCCCTACACTGTGAAGAGTTTTGATCAAGAAAAGATGCTATATTTTGTCAAATACTTTTTCAGCATCTATCGAGAGTATCATATGGTTCTTGTTCTTTCTTTTATTAATGTATTGTATCACATTGACTGATTTGTGGATGTTGAACAAAACTTGCAGCCCAGGAATAAATCCCACTTGGTTGTTGTAAATAATCCTTTTAATGTACTGTTGGATCCTATTGGCTAGTATTTTGGTGAGAATTTTGCATCTGTATTCATCAGGGATATTAGTCTGTAATTTTCCTTTTTATGGGGTCTTTTTCTGGTTTTGGGATCAAGGTAATGTTGGCCTCATAAAAGGAGTTTAGGGGCACCTGTGTGGCTCAGTGGGTTAAGCCTCTGCCTTCGACTCAGGTTATGATCTCAGGGTCTTGGGATCGAGCCCCACATCGGGCTCTCTGCTCAGTGGGGAGTCTGTTTCCCCCACCTCTCTCTCTGCCTGCCTCTCTGCCTACTTGTGATCTCTCTCTGTCAAATAAATAAATAAATTCTTAAAAAAAAAATAAAAGGATTTTAGAAGTTTTCCTTCCATTTCTATTTTTTGGAACAGTTTCAGGAGAAAAGGTATTAATTCTTCTTTAAATGTTTGGTAGAATTCCCCTGGAAGCCCTCTGGCCCTGGGCTCTTGTTCATTGGGAGATTTTTAATGACTGCTTCAATCTCGTTACTGGTTATGGGTCTGTTCAGGTTTTCTACTTCTTTCTACTTCAGTTTTGGTAGTTTATATGTCTCTAGGAATGCATCCATTTCTTCCAGATTGTCAAATTTGCTGGTGTATAGTTGCTTATAATATGTTTTTATAATTGTTTGTATTTCTTTGGTATTGGTTGTGATCTCTCCTTTTTCATTTATGGTTTTATTAATTTGGGTCCTTTCTCTTCTTTTTGATAAGTGTGGCCAGTGGTTTATCACTCCTATTAATTCTTTCAAAGAACCAGCTCCTAGTTTTGTTGATTTTTTCTACTGTTCTTTTGGTTTCTATTTCATTGGTTTCTCGTCTGATCTTTATTATTTCTATTCTTCTGCTGGGTTTAGGCTTTCTTTGATGTTCTTTCTCCAGCACCTTTAGGTATAGGGGTAGGTTGTGTACTTGAGAACTTTCTTGTTTCTTGAGAAAGGCTTGTATCGCTATATACTTTCCTTTCAGGGATTGCCTTTGCTGTGTCCCAAATATTTTGAATAGTCGTGCTTTCGTTTTCATTTATTCCCATGAATTTTTAAAATTCTTCTTTAATTTCCTGGTTGACCCATTTATTCTTTAGTAGGATGTTCTTTAGCCTCCATGTATTTGAGTTCTTTCTAACTTTCCTCTTGTGATTGAGTTCTAGTTTCAAAGCATTGTGGTCTGACAATATGCAGGAAGTGATCCCAATCTTTTGGTAATGGTTGAGACCTGATTTGTGACCCAGGATGTGGTCTATTCTGGAGAAGTTCCATGTGTACTAGAGAAGAATGTGTATTCTGTTGTTTTGGGATGGAATGTTCTAAATATATCTGTAATGTTCATCTTGTCCAGTGTGTCATTTAAAGCTTTTATTTCCTTGTTGATCTTTTGCTTAGATGATCTGTCCATTTCAGTGATGGGGGTGTTAAAATCCCCTACTATTGCTGATTATTGTCAATGCATTTCTTTGATTTTGTTATTAATTGGTTTATATAGTTGGCTGCTCCCATGTTAGGGGCATAGGTATTTAAAATTATTAGATCTTGTTGGACAGACCTTTTAAGTATGATATAGTGTCCTTCTTCATCTCTTATTATAGTCTTTGGCTTAAAATATAATTTATCTGATATAAGGATTGCCACCCCAGCTTTCTTTTGATGTCCATTAGCATGGTAAATTGTTTTCCACCCCTTCACTTTAAATCTGGAGGTGTCTTTGGGACTAAAATGAGTTTCTTGTAGGTTGAATATTAATGGGTCTTGTTTTTTTTTTATCCATTCTGATGCCCTGTGTCTTTTGATTGTGGCATTTAGCTCATTTACATTCAGGGTAACTATTAAAAGATATGAATTTAGTGCCATTGTATTGTCTGTAAGGTGACTGTTACTGTATATTTTCTCTGTTCCTTTCTGGCCTGTTACTTTTAGGCTCTCTTTTTGCTTAAAGGATGCCTTTCAATATTTCCTATAGGGCTGGTTTGGTGTTTGCAAATTCTTTTAATTTTTGTTTGTCCTGAAAGCTTTTTATCTCTCCTTCTATTTTCAATGACAGCCTACCTGGATATAGTATTCTTGGCTGCATATTTTTCTCATTTAGTCCCCTTAATATATCATGCCAGTCCTTTCTGGCCTGCCAGGTCTCTGTAGATAGGTCTGCTGCCAATCTAATAATTCCACCATTGTATGTTATAGACCTCTTGTCCTGAGCTGCTTTCAGGATTTTCTCTTTGTCACTGAGACTTGTAAGTTTCACTTTTAGATGATGGGGTGTGGACATATTTTTATGGATTTTGAGGGGGCATTCTCTGTGCCTCCTGGATTCTGATGATTGTTCCCTTCGCCAAATTAGGGAAATTCTCTGCTATAATTTGCTCCAATATACTTTCTGCCCCCCTCTCTCTTTCTTTTTCTTTTTCTGGAATCCCAATTATTCTAATATTGTTTTGTCTAATGGTATCACTTATCTCTTGAATTCTCCCCTTATGGTCCAGTCGTTGTTTGTCTCTCTTTTGCTCAGCTTCTTTATTCTCTATTATTTGGTCTTCTATATCACTAATTCTCTCTTCTACCTCATTTATCCAGTAAGAGCCTCCATTTTTTATAGCACCTCATTAATAGCTTTTTTTCAAAATTTCAACTTGGTTAGGTTTTAGTTCTTTTATTTCTCCAGAAAAGGATTTTATTTCTCCAGAAAGGGATTCTCTAATATCTTCCACGCTTCTTTCATGCCCAGCTAGCACTTTGATAATCATCATTCTTAACTCTAGTTGTGACATATTACTTATGTCTATATTGATTAGGTCCCTAGCCATTGGTACTTCCTCTTTTTTTTTTTTTTTTTGTGATGAGTTTTTCCACCTTGTCATTTTATCCAGATAAGAACAGATGAATGAGAAAACAAAATGCTAAAAAGGTAGCAATGACCCCAGAAAAATATACACTAACCAAATCAGAAGCGACCCAAAACTGTGGGGAGAAGAAAGGGGGAAAAAAAGAAAAAAATATATATGTATATATATTGGACTGGTTAATAGAATAGAACCACATACTTGATTTTGGGTGTATTTTGGTCTCTTAGAAGAAACTACTTCCCAAAATTTTAAAGAAAGAAAAACTTATCTATATACAAAAATAAGGTAAACACAATGAAGGGATGGAATATGACTGTAAAGATGAAAATTAAAAAGGATTCTAAAAAAGGAACTGATAAAGATAAGAAGTTGGTTAAAAAAAAGAAAAAGGAGGAAAGAATGTGATCAGGATGGAGACTAGAACAAAGCCATGTGCTAGATTTAGGGTATATATTGATCTGTTAGAAGAAACTGTATCCCAAAATTTTAAAGAAAAAAAAAAACTTATATGTGTACAAAAAATAAGGTTAAATACAATGAAGGGATAAAATATGACTATAACAATGAAAATTTAAAAAGATTTTTAAAAGACATTGATAAGATCAAATAGTTAAAAAACATAAAAATAAGAAAGAGAAAAATACAAAAAATAGAATAAGAAAAAAATTTTTTAAAATTTAACTTTGAAAGACTAAAGATTCATGGAAAAAAAAGCCGTGAATTCTATGTGTTGCTTTTCCCTAGCTCTGGCATTCTGCAGTTCTCATTGATTAGTGAACTTGGTCTTGGCTGGATGTTCTTGTTGATCTTCTGGGGGAGGGGCCTGTTGTAGTGATTCTCAAATGTCTTTGCCTGAGGCAGAATTGCACTGCCCTTGCCAGGGGCCAGGCTAAGCAATCTGTTCCTTCAGTTCGCTCTCGGTAGCCTTTTTTTTTTTTTTTTAAATATTTTATTTATTTATTTGACAGAGCGAGAGAGCACAAGTAGGCAGAGAGGCAGGCAGAGACAGAGAGGGAAGCAGGCTCCCCACTGAGCAGTGAGTCTGATGGGGGGCTCAATCCCAGGACCCTGGGATCATGACCTGAGCTGAAGGCAGAGGCTTAACCCAGTGAGCCTCCCTGGTGCCCCTCTCAGTAGCTTTTGTTCCCTGAATGCTTTCCATAGAGCTTTGAAGGATGGGAATGAAAAGGTCAGCCTCCCACTCCTCAGTGCACCCTCAGAGAAAAGCAGTCAATCACTCCTTCTCCCTGGTCCCTGGTGGGGCTCTGTACTCACCTGACCTGTGACTGAGCATTTCTATCTATGGTGCACAACCCAGTTTGGAGTCTCCAAACCCAGCAGATTCCTGCAGTGTGTTCCCGCACTGCTCCTCTCAGAGGAGGAAGGAAGGGATCTCTCCAGATCTGCCACTTGTGGGATCCCTGCTTGAAGAGCAGTGGCCCGACTGTGCCTTGGATCACAGTTTAAGGCAACTTTGATCTGAGAGACCACTTCTTGTCTCCATCTCTGCAGCTGGCTTCCCTGCTCTGATACCTGGAGGTTCTGCCACACTCAGACACCCCCAGTCTCTCTGTGACCCTGAGGGTTCTGAGACCACATTGTCCCCACGAGGGCTCCACCCCCTGCTTAGCTTCTGGAGGGATATCCTTCAGGGGAGCAGACTTCTAAAAGTTCTGATTTTGTGCTCCACTGCTCTCTCACTTCCCAGGAGCAGGCCCCTGCCCCCATATGTTGTTTTGGATTCACTTCTCCACACGTCCTACCTTCCAGAATGTGCTCAATTTTCTGTTCCTAGAATTCCTGCTCTTCTTCTCTTCAATCTCCTGTTGAGTTTGTAGATGTTCAGAATGGTTTGATAACTATTTAGCTGAACTCCTGGGACCTGACGATATTTAGGTCTCCTACTCCCCTGCTATCTTGCCTGCAGTCTAATGTCCCCAACATCTTTTCTTAAAACAAATTCTGCAGCTTCCCACAGCTGAACAAGTGTAGGAAGGTAAAACGATTTTCTTGTAATTATCCCTCCATCCCACATTCACAGAGCCAAAGTTGGGGACAGAGTTGAGAGAATGCCAATCTCGAAACTACCTTAATGAGGCAATGGCTAAATTAAATACCCAAATTGCCATCAGGGAAATATTTAGACCTTAGGAAGAGTCAATTCAACAGATGCAAAAAGATCAAGTTTATTGTTTTTGGCCTTGGGAACTCTCCCCTTCCTCAGTTATTTTGAAAAGGATGGGGACATTATGTAACAAGGGGGGCTTTTGTTGATTGTGAGAGAGTGAAAAGAACTTTTTGTGAACAAGTAAAAAGTGGGTTTCATTTTTATTATTAATAACTAACTGATCTATGATCTCTCTCTATAGGAGGTTAATATGTGGGCCTAATACTATTGATGTTGAAATCACACCAATTTGGAAACTACTTATCAAGGAGGTAATCAGTACTTTCTCTTCATCCTGGCTGGAGAATAAAGGAGTTCAGTTCAATTAAAAGATCAGGAATGCTACGTGTCAATACATAACTGTAATTTGGGATATTTTAAAAAAATACAAAGTATAGTTTCTTCATATCTCTCTTCTACTCTTTTTCTCAGAGACCATCTTTTGTACATGTTGCCTGATACAATATAGGATATGATGCTGATGTATCCACTTATCCTTTTATAACTGGATAAACATACATTTCTTCTCTTTCTTTCCTTTCTAATCCTATGTTTCTTAGTCTGTCTCAAATTTGTGAAACTGAAATAATAATTAAAAATTTAAAAAACTCAGAACTTTTCTTATGAGCACAATATACAATTTCTTCAACATCTAAAATTATAGGAAGAAAAACATCTGCTTGGACTTACTAGTTTTCTCCATCTCAATGTGGGTGTGGGAGGAAAAAAAGGACTTGAACATCATTTAATGAGTTGAATTTTTCCTCTTTGACTCTACTACTGGGCTTATTTTTCATTTAGCCATGATTATTATGAAACTATAACCATACAGCTGTACTCTGGGTCTTTTCTTGCACTTTGCTACTTCCTTTATAAAAAACATACTAAATTTAAGGTACTTTCTGAATATTTCTAGCAAGTTTTCTTTCAGGAATGGAAGGAAGCAAAAGAAACTGAAAGGAAATGTTTCTGTGTGTTCCTTCCCTAGCCAGAGTCAAGGAATAATGTTCCCATCCTAAACAAATGGAAAGAAACTAGAAACTATTGGAGTAAGGGCACAAAAAGTCTTAAACCAAAACAGGCTAACGACTGTTGGAGTTAGCCTCTCCTTTCTCCACATTGTTCTAGATATTCAGCGACGTTTCCCACTTTCAGCTTGGCTCTCTACTTATGAGCAATTGTGGTCTTCAACTTAGCCATTAATCTAAGGTATTTTGATGGCTTTGAAGATCGTAGATGGTGTGTCATAAGAAAGAACAACAGACTTGAGAACATTTTAACTTTGTAAACCTGGAGTCTTAACTTCCGCCTTCTTATGGCCAGTACATGTAAATAGGACCTGGAAATATTCACACCCGACACCCTTGCGATGGTCAGTATGAGGATCCATGAGACACTACTTTGTAAATGATAAGGTTAACAGTGATTACAAGTAAGGGCTCCAGGGCCAGATTGCCTGGGTTCAAGCCCTAATCTGTGGCTATTGCAGCTGCGTGACCTTGAGCAAGTTTGTCAAGGTCTGGGAGACTCAGCTTCTCCACCTTTTCAACGGTGATAAGTAATAGCTTCTGGGTAATAAGGTAATTATGGAAATTAAAAGAGAAATTTCAAGTAAAGTTGCTCAGTGCAGTGTCTGGCATATGACAATTGCTGAATAAATTTAATAAGAATGAGAATATCGTATAGGGTGATTTATGAAAGCAAACAAGTCAATGAATAGCTAATGTGAAGACTAATTATTCCTTTTGTCTTCCTGTTTTCCTGCCAACAGGTTTTAAATCCATTTTACATATTTCAACTCTTCAGTGTCTGTTTGTGGTTTAGTGAAGACTATAAGGAATATGCTTTTGCCATCATAATTATGTCCATCATGTCCATAGCTTTGACGGTCTATGATCTCAGAGAGGTGAGTTTTTTCCACCAATCTTGTGGCCACAGAAAGGGATCAGTAGGAACTTTATTGAAATTTTGTTAGAAAGAAGAATCAGGAAATAGTTATTGCCAACTCTACAATAAATGAGACCAGGTTTGTGAATATCTAACATAAGTACTTATGCCGAATAATGTTATTCCTTTTCCTTCTCTCACATCCCAATTCCTAACCTTCCAAGTTATGTTTTCCCCTCTTAAGTTTACTCAGGCTGATCAGCCAGAAGATACAAATTCTATGAATTGTGAATAAGTGAAAAAATATATTCAGAGAACACTGTTAGATCCTGAAGGTGGTGGGAGAGGGTAGAAGGTGAAAGAGTCTATTTAATAATGACTCTTTTGCCCATTTTGTTTGGATGGTACTTATTCGTTAAAGCCTGAGTCCAACACTTGGCTTTCTTTATGCCCACATCAAGGGGTCTAAGAGCTTTTGGGAAAAAGTCATGTAGAAGAGATTGGTTGATCACAGTCTCCCATTCTCAAAAATAAGGTTTCAAACCAAACTCTCCTCACTTTTTATGAGATGCCCAATTACTCTTATTCCATTCCTCTAATTCAGCAGATAATCTCCCCTCTTGTTCCACAAAGAAGATAGAAACTATAAGATAGGAATTTGCTCAACTCCCTACCCACCAACTCCCAAATGACCCTGTCTCTGCCTCCCTTCTGCCCTGCCCTCTTATTACAGAGGAGAAAGGGCACTCTGCCTGAGCTTGCAATAGCATCCTTTTCCATCTGCTCAGGGTACTTACGTGGTCACTGAATGACCTCCTCAATCACTCCCCCAACAGCCTTTCTATCAGCATTAAACATGCTCAAGGGAAGTAACAATCCCCTCTCTTGATAAATCTTCTACATTTAGCTACTACTCAGCCTCTCTTCTTCTTTTTGTAGGAAAACTTCTTTATGCATGCTCTCATGACTTACTGATCTCCCTCTCACTTTTCGCTATACTGACCTGATTTTCACTTTTGCGACTCCATTAAAAAAACTCTTGTTAAGGTCACCACTATAATCCTAAGCCCATAGGTAGTTTTAATTTTTTTTAATTCCTTTTTTAAACTAGTTATTTTTTTCTTAGTAGAAGGAGTAATACATGGACATAATTTTTAAAAGACTCAAATAGGACAATACAGTGTAAATAAAAAATAAATATCCCTCCGACCTTGGTTCTCCCAGTATCTAGATCCCCTTTCTGAAGGCATCCACTGGGTCCAAATGTTCTATAATGTTTAGCAGTATTAAACACATGTACACTCATTTGCTTCACACAAATGGAAATACGCTATGCACACTGTTCTGCACTTGCATTTTTCACCCAATATATCTTAAATATCATTCCAAATCTGCACAAATGTGTTTTCTCTAGATGTACCATAATTTTTAAACCAGTTATGTTGTTGGATATTTAGATCGTTTCTAGTTTTTTGCTATTAAAATAATGACAATTCTTGGGGCTCCTGGGTGGCTCAGTGGGTTAAAGCCTCTGCCTTCAGCTCAGGTCACGATCCCGGAGTCCTGGGATCGAGCCCCGCATCGGGCTCTCTGCTCAGCTGGGAGCCTGCTTCCCCCTCTCTCTGCCTGCCTCTCTGCCTACTTATGATCTCTGTTTGTCAAATAAATAAATAAAATTTAAAAAAAATAATGGCAATTCTTGCACATATACCTGTCCCCACCTCCACGTATATGTGTTTTTATAAATATATATAAATTGTGAATATGCATAATTTATATTACATGCATAAATAATATGCATAATTAATATACATATTATATAACAGGTATATTGTCTACTTATATATGACTTGTATGGAGATATAAAATTTCTATACTTGAAATTATAATTATAAACTAGATATATTATTTTAATAGATGTGGTCAAAATGCCTCTTAAACAAGGAATACTAATTTATACTCCTCCCAATAGTAGATGAGTGTTGTTTTCCTTATCTTTGCCAATATAAGTGAAAATAGAATCCCATAACTTTAACAGCATGTTTTCCATTATGATTGGAGTACTTGCTCATGTCCTAAGCTGTTTGTATTTTTTCACTGTGAACTGTATTCATGTCCTCCATTAATTTTTATTGGATTGTTAGTCTTTTGTTTGCTGATTTTATAGTCCTCCTCCCACAGTGGATTTTTTTTTTTTTTTTTTTTTTTTGCATTGCAGGTTTCGCTAACCCTCTCCCTTGCATTGGACAGTTAACTGCTCCATTGCTTCTTTCTGAAATGCTCTTTCCCTTAGGCTTCAGACACACACTCTCATCCTCTCTAGTAGTTCTTTCTCAATCTCTTTTTATAGTTCCTCCTCTTTACCTGGCTTTTCCTTGGGGAGGAGTGTCTCAACATCAAAACAATATGCAAACTATAGCATCATTATATTAGCATCAGGTAGCATCATTATATCATTTCCTACCCAGTTTTATTATTGCTTCTACTAACACTATGTCTTTTTGGCCTTTTCACGTGACTATATTAAGAGATTCTTCATTATTCTTATAACTGTATACCAATGAATTCTAAAGTGACTTTTAAATTTATAAATATTTCAAATCCAAATATTTCTTTTGAGTTTGACATTCGTAGATTCAACAATCTATTTGATTCAAAGCCACTTTTTTCGGGAAGATTTTTACTGCTTCCATTGGTTATATATGCTCCAAAAGCACATTTTTTCCCCTTATTTCTGATTGTAATGATACCTTTATGTTTGTGATTATTTGATTAAAAATATTTTTCCCAGTGGGTTGTAAATCCCTTGCTGGTAAGAATCATATCCTTTTTTTCTTTTTTAACCATTGCATCTCCACCTCTTAGCATAGTCCCTGGCACATAAAGGTTGTTTAATAAAAGTTGAGTGAATGCAAAAATGAATAAAAGAATATGTTAACAATAGAACACTCTATCTTTCACCTTATATTATTCTACTAATCATTCTTAGGACATATTAGTCAGATCTGTAAATGGTTTGATGTCAGAGATTTAGGGGGTGTCTTAAATAGCAAAATCAGAATAAAAAAATGAATACACTAAATGATTAGGAGTTTTAACTCCTAGAAGCAGGTAGTTCTTTTACACAACAGTTTCTTAATGTGAAATCTAATATCATTTTATTATATCTTTCTTTTCTATCTTGTTATGGATTCACTCTCCGTGTCCTGTGTATTTCATATATTAATACAACATAAACTATGAGGAAATAGCAGGAACCGCCAAACTCCTTATAAAGTTATAGATTAGGAACTCTGATGTGGGATAACTCAAGCCTGAAATAATGCTTAGTTCTTGAAGCTATTTAGGTATAAACACCTATCTTGAATGATTAAAGTTCTTGATGTTCTCAACTGAAGGAACTAAAGACAAATTTATGGTTATCAAAAACAACTTTGAGTGAACCAAGCAGGCTGGGAAATTCCTTTCTACCAAAGAACACATACTTCTTATTGTTGGTAAGCAGGACAGCAAGCTGGATGACTTTTCTGTTGACTGATAGGCTACTTAGTCCTTTGTTTTTAGCCAGCATATTCAGTCAGGAACAAGACAGTGTTCTAACTTTAAAGAGACAAATGCTTTACTGAATTAATACTTTGGATGTATCTTCAAATACGTAAGCCTTTTCCTATTTTCCTTTCCTCTCTTTCAGCAATCTGTAAAACTTCACCGCCTAGTGGAGTCACATAATAGCATTACAGTCTCTGTATGTGGGAGAAAAGGTAAGTCTTATTCATTTAGATCTATGTGTGTTCGTATGAATCAAAACAGGATTTAAATTTTTATCTCTGTTTCTACTACTCTCATCTTCATATGCATTTTTTTTTCTGTACATTTACCTAATGGAATAAAGTGCTTGAGGCATTTTCGCCTTAAAAAAAAAAACAAACTTTACTGGGGCGTCTGGGTGGCTCAGTGGGTTAAAGCTTCTGCCTTCAGCTCAGGTCATGGTCTCAGGATCCTGGGATCGAGTCTCGCATCCGACTCTCTGCTCAGCAGGGGGCCTGCTTCCTCCTCTCTCTCTGCCTGCCTGTCTGTCTACTTGTGATCTCTGTCTGTCAAGTAAATAAAAAAATCAAAATAAAATAAAATAAAATAAACATTAAAAAAATCTCTCTTGAGATAAAATTGACATATAATTAACTGAACATATTTAAAATGTACAATTTGATAGATTTTAACTTATGTACATCTGTGTAACTACCCATGAAACTATCACCACAATAATGATAATGACTGTCCATTACTCCCAAAGGTTGCCTTGTACCTGTTTGTAATCCCTCTTCTCAACCTCTCTCTCTCCCCATCCCCATCCTTAGGCAATGATTTTGCATGTTTAGAACTGTATATAAATGGTATTATCCAGTAGGCATTTTTATGTCTTTTATAACGTATTTTGGGATAATTTTACAGGGATCCAATTCATAATTATTTTAAAATGTGTCCTTTTGTTAAATATGTCAATAGTTTATTCCTTTTTTATTCCTGAGGCTAACCCCTGTGTATGGATAGATTGGTTTGAATTTCCATTCACCTACTGATGGGAAATTTGAATTGTTCCTAGTATTGGACTACTACAAATGATGTCTCAATGAAAATTTGGGTTCAAGTCTTTGCATGAACATACACTTTCATTTTGTATGGGAAAATACATAATTGTGGAATGGCTGGGTCATATGGGCAGGTAAATGTTTAACTTTTTAAAGAAACTGCCCAACTGTTTCCCTAAGTGTTTGTACCATTTTGCATTCTTACTGGCAGTGTATGAGAATTGTAGGGCCTCCACATTCTTGTCTATACTTGGTATGGTCATTTTTTAAAATTTTAGCCATTTTAACAGATGTGTAGTGGTATCTCTTTGTAGTTTTAATTTGCATTTCCCTAGTGACTAATGGCACTGACCATCTTTTCAATGCTTATTTTCTACTTATATATCTTGTTGGTGAAGTATCTGTTCAAATCTTTTGCTTATTATGTTGTTTTCTCTAATTAGCTTTTGAGAAGAAGTTCTTTCTATATTCTGAATCCAAAGCCTTTATCAGAAATATGATTTGTAAAGATCTTCTATCACTCTATGACTTATCGTTTCCATTTTCTTTACAGTGTCTCCCAAAGGGTGGATATTTCTACTGTTAAAGTCCAGTTTATCAAATTTTCCTTTTGTGGACCTTGCTTTTTGCATTACATCTAAGACACCTTTGACTAACCCAAGGTTATTAAGCTTTTCTGTGGTGTCCTAATGTAAATAAGTGCTTCATATGTAAGTTTTTAATGAATATCTATTCAATAAATTGAGGTGAGGTACTTTTTGAGATTCAAAAATACATTTTTATAACAATACATAGGAAAATATGAGTTGCTTTCTTTTTAGAATGAGTTCATCAAATCCTTCTCAATATTAACGGCTACAAGCTGGAGCCCTGCTTGGAAATTCTACACATTTGGGAAATTTGTTAAAGGTTAGAGTAGATTGAACAGATTTAACACTATTTAACAACTTTGTTGCATAGGAGGGTAGGCAGTACAAAGAAGGAAATTTTCCTAAAGGATTGAAGAGTCTGAACAATGCATTTTATCAAGAAATGATCGACATTTTTCAAAATGGGATAGTAATTATGAGTATGGGCTGGTGGATATAATTCTGGTTTTTCTTTATCCAACCCTATGAACATATCTATCTGGTTCCCAGGAGAGGGGGCCATAATTAACAACTGCAACAGATATTTTCCTATAACACAAAGTAGCAAACAAAAATCTTATATATATAAAATATATAAAATTTGTAGCCCAAGCAGAAATGACTTGGGTTCCAGGATCAAAATGTTACATAAAATATAGAGTGATGCCCCCTCTCACACTTTATCTCAGACCTCCACAAAATGGGGTTCTTTACAAAAGGGAAATGTCCTGCATATGAGAGAGAGAGAGAGAGAGAGAGAGAGAGAGAGAGAGAGAAATACACACTCAGATCAAATCAAGTGTTGCCAGTTTAACAGTTGGTAGCAAAACCCAGGCTGTTTGCTTAGGTTTATTTACTTATGGCCGCTAAAATTTTGTGGTTGCTCCTGGAAATTTGGATACTTAGCAGTAACCAAGTTAGCTTTGGTGAATAGAAGAACATGTTTTTGAACTCATGAATAATCAGCAACACTGCCACCTATTCCTTTCTTGAGACTATTGGTGAAGTCCTTGGTGGTTAGCTGATAGCCATGAGTGTACTGTTTTGTTTTCTCCAGGTATAAAAGGCCTTCTCCAGACTAGACATCATTAATGAGTCTTCTAATGGACAAATATACTTGAAATCTTTCAGAACAATTCTTTGCTCCCTACTATAAATTAGCATAGATCTGGTCTTCTAGTTATCTTTCCCTTCAGGCACGATAGGAAACTTAATGTAATAGGTGGAGTTCTGCCCACTGTGAAGGAGAATGACGATGGTCTTCTCCACAGTTATTCTGGGACTCTTTTAAGCCAGGATCTAATACTATGAAGTGTTTAGGATTCTTTCCTGTCTATTAGTGGCCATAAAAAACTTCATCTGAGATCTTAGATGTACACTGAGGAAGAGACAACAGAATGACAGAATTGGGAAGAAGACATGTTGGGCAGTGAGAAAACTATTTTTGAAATTCACTTGGACTTCCACCTTCTGCTTAGATCTTATTTTGTATATAACTCTTCTACTTGATAGTTGAATGCTGTTGGGAACTCATAATTTATATGGTCAGTCTTATCAAATAATGTTAAACTCATGATAGATGGGCAGTCTCCCTTAGAGATTAATAGTGACAAACGCAAAACAAAAACTACATTGTTTTTTAAGATATTCAGTTTTAGCTTTCACATTTAGATCTATATTGCATTTCAAGTTTTTTTTTTTTAATTGAAGTTCATTCTTTGCAAATAGACATTCAAATATTTCAATACCATTTGTTGAAAGGACTGTCCTTTCTCCACTGGGTTGTCTTTGCATCTTGGTCAAATATTGCTCATACACAGGTGGATCTGTTTTTGGACTCCCTATTCTGTTCTACTCATCTATCTGCTTGTCTTTATACCAATGCCATCAAATGGCTTTATAATTAGTTATGCATAAACGATGAATCTTGGAACACTGAAAGAATAAAATAAAGTTTAAAAAAAATAAAGAATGGGTGAATGAAGAAAAAAAATAGTCTTTAAATAGGATAATGTTAGTCCTTGAGCTTTGTTCTTCTTTTCAGTGTTGCTTTGCTGATATTGGAACCTTTGAGTTAGAATCAAACTGTCAATTTCTAACAAGAAAAAAACATGATGAAATTTTGATTAGGATTGTGTTGAACCTATAGATTAATTTGTGAAAAATGGATATGTTAATAAATTTGGGTCTTCTGTCTTATGGATATGGTGTATGTCTCCATTTTTCAATCTTTGTTAATTTGGTCTTTGATTTCTCTCAGCGATGTTTTGCAGTGTTCGGTGTATGGGTCTTACACATTCTAAGATGCATTCCTAAATATTTCATGATTTTGATGCTATCAAGAGTGGTAGTTCAAAAGGTATATGTTCAATTGTTCATTTGCTAGTAGCTTCTTCAAATGCATGTGATGATTAGTCTCTATAGACTGTCATGTCTATATTCTGAAGTCAGGGAGACCTCTGGATTTTGTCTGGGTTCCCCCTTCCTGCACAATGGCCTGGGAACTCTCTAAAGACAGTAAAATGAGCAATTGTAGGGCATCTTCACTTGTTTCCTGTCTTTTGTTGTTTATGTTAGGTATTTAAAACCATTGTTTCATATATTTTGTATATGAATATCGATACATATATGAATCGATACATGTATGAATATATGTATATCGCATTTGTTTTGGATGGGAAGATAGATCTGCTCCTTTTTGTAGCTGAAGTAAAACTTCCCCCTTTAAAAACACCCTGATCATTTTCTTGTTTAACGTTTTGTGATGAAATGTTTTGCATACATACAACGAGAAGAATATGATAATGAAATCCCATGTAGTGATCACTTAGACTCAACAATTATAACACATTGAATCTTTTTCATCCCTCTCTCTGGATTATTTTTGAACTATCCCAGATATCATATAATTTAATGTGAAAAAAATGCAGTATGTATGTAAAATATAAAGATTCCTTTTTAATTCTTTTACCTAAAAAAAAACCTAAAATAATTCCATAATTTAAAAAACTCAATTACGTAGAAGGGTTGAAATTTTCCCAATTGAATCACAAGTGTGTGTTTATACATGTGTATATTTTCCAATAATATTCAAATAAAGCCCACATCTTGCTATTAGTTGATAAGTCTCTAGTTTCTTTGAACTCTACACATTCCTTCCTTTATATCTTACATTTTTCCTCACAAATTTTTTATTGAGGAAAGCAAATAGTTCATCCTAGGGGTTCTACAGTTTAGATTATATTGGTTACATATTCATAAAATTATTTAACATGATTTTCTGTGGTTTACACTTCCTGTAAATTGGTTGTTAGAGGCTTGAGTTTTTGACAAGAATATTTCATAGTTGATATTGCATACTTCCAATGAGAGATACATACTGATTATCTTCTTTTTGTGATGTTAGCAGACATAAATGTTTATGACTTAGATTAACTATTTCATTAAGAGTTTGAAATTTCTACTTCTATCATATGATTTTCACATACTAAGTGGAATATTTATGTAAAGAAAAACACTCTCCTCAACTATTTCATTACCCTGAGATTCAGTTTGTTTAAGAAAGACAAAATTAATATTCGATTATTTCCTTTTATGTACCAGCTTTCAGAATAATGGGTTGATCCTTTAGCATTACTTAAAGGATTTTTTAGTGTCATTATGCGTTCATATGGGTCGACACATTTCCATCCATGGCAATTTTTATTCTTACTGTGCTCAAATTTTCTCATCTTTGGCTTTTGAGGGCCTCCTCTGGTTGGCTTCTGACTTCTTCTGCTATGACCCCAGTAGCCTTTAAAAAAGTTTTGTTGCTTTCTGATATGATATGATATTCCAAACTTACCTTGGACAATCCCTGCTCCAAACCTGGACACATCCTTTTTTCCAAAGAGCTCTTATATATTATAGACCTCAACCAGAGCGCTCAGAGTGTTCATTTCTATGGTGTTAGTCACTATTGCTTGGCCTTTTCAGAAGACAGATCTAGTCTTCTGACATTTCTTTTTAGAGAAGGAGAGAGAAAGAGTAGGGGGAGTGGCAGAGGGAGAGAAAATCTTAAGCAAGCTCCATGCCCAGCCCAGATCCTGACACGGGGCTCAATCTTGCAACCTTGAGATCATGACCTGAGTCGTAATCAGGTCGTTGGATGCTTAACCGATAGTCACGCAGGACCCCCATCTTCTGACATTTCTAATTCAAGTTTAGAATTGCGAGCTTTTTACTTAACTTTGTTGATTTTACTTTAGTCTCTCCTTTATCTCAGAAGTTGCAATTCTCAATGACAGCAACAAATTACTCATTTGCTCTATACCTCATACACAGTAATCTCAGAGTTGAAAGCCAAAATACCCGGAAGGAATATAATTCCTAAAAACAATTTGAGATTTTGTTGGAGTTTTTCTTTTCCTCTGTTTGTGATATACCATATGAAATGTACAAATTATATGTTTAAAAAAAACTTATGTTTCAAAGTTACTTGAAATGTTCTTCTCTGTATGGTTATATCCGCAACTCAATAGGTTTATCTCATTCATCTTGCTTTAGATTTTTAGTGTTAACTTTTCAAATATATTTTTGTATTAGTTTATGTGGGTATTATACACAAATATATATTATATAAAATATATAATCATAGATTTAATAAAATTATATTTTAAATATATAAATTATATAAAATATCAAAATAAAATATCAAATAATATAGGTATCATATCAAAAAATGTATCAAATTTCAAATAATATATCAAATAATAAAATAGATATTATATCAGGGGCACCTGGGTGGCTCAGTGGGTTAAGCCTCTGCCTTCGGCTCTGGTCATGATCTCAGGGTCCTGGGATCAAGCCCCACATCCGGCTCTCGGCTCAGCGGGGAGCCTGCTTCCCCCTCTCTCTCTTCATGCCTCTCTGCCTACTTGTGATCTCTCTCTCTGTCAAATAAATAAATAAAATCTTTTTAAAAAATAGATATTATATCAAATATCTACATGGTTCAAAAGTTAAACCTGTAAGTCAAAACATTCAGGAAGCCTGGCTCCTATCCCTCTTTTCTCTACCTTGTGCACTTACTATCTCTGTAAGAATATTTTTTTTGTTTTTGATTTATTCTTACATTGAAAAGATACAAAGAAATTATATATAATATCCATTTCTATATAGTATATATACAAAATAGTGTATATGTTTACACTGCTGCTTGGATAACAGGGATATACCATACAGGGTTAGCTCACATTTGCTGGGGTGTTTGCTTTACCTGCTTTTTAAGAATATTGAAACATAGTTGACGTACAATGTTAAATTAGTTTCAGGTGTATTTACATACTTAAATATGTTTCCTGGAGATTCTTTCATAGCAGAATATATAACTTTTTTTTTTTTTTTTTTGCTCATTATTTCAGCTTTCTAGTACTCTTGTGTATGGGTGAACCATTGTTTATTCAATCAGTTCTCTATTGAAGGATTTTATTTTATTTTATTTTTTAGTTTTTTACTATAAAGATAGTGCTGTAATCAAAAGGCTTGTGCATACATTTGTCTTTTCTTATTTCCACCAGTCTATCTTTGGCATAAATTTTGAGAACTGAAATTGCTGAGTTAAAGAATAAATGCATGTATGTTCTTTTGCTAGATAGATCTAGCCAAATTTCTTTTCATGGAGATTGTACCAGCTTGCATTTGTGCCAGAAATGTGTGTTTCCTCATAGACTTGTTGACAGAATATGCTGGCAAACTTTTGCCTTTTTCTAATTAGCTAGGTGGGCAATGTTAGATGTATTTATTTTTCTCTTTTTTTAGGAAATAACTTAAAACTTACAGAAAAGTTACAAGAATAGTTCAAATAACTTTTTCCCTGAGCCATTTGAGAGTAAGTTGCCAACATATGGCTCTATGACTCCTACATATTGTAGCGTATATTTCTCAAAGACAAGGACATTCCTCTACATATATGACAGTGTAACCATTAACATCAGGAAGTTAATATTGACATGTTAATAGCAACTGATGCTCACACCCCATCCAAGTTTTTTCAGTGGTCTTAATAATGTTCTTTATAGGAGAGGATTTGGAATTATACAGAAATATTGTTTTAATCTTTTAAATTTAATTTAAATTTAAAAGATTAAATTTTTAATCTTAATTAAATTTTAAATTTAAATTTTATCTTCAATCTTTCCTTGACTTCATGATCTTGACCCCTCTGACTCTGTTTTTTTTGTGAAATGTCTCTCAATTTGGATTTGTCTGATGTTTCCTCATAGTTAAATTCAGGTTATGCACTTTGGGCTGGAATATCATAGAGATGATCCCATATCCTCATCATTTCCTCTCAGGTGGTACATAATTTAAATTTGTCCCATTACTAATGATGTTAATTTGGATCACTTTATTAAATAGTATCTTCCAGGTTTCTCCATTGTAAATTTACTCTTTTGTCCTTTGTAATTAATAGTTGTTTTGTTGAGAGATACTTGAGACTATATAAACAAGCTATCCTCATTAAATTTATCCACTAGTTGTATCCATTGCCATTTCTTAGCTGAATTATTACTTTGATAGTTGCCAAATCATGATTTTCTAATTACATCTTTTCTCCCCATTTATTTATCCATTTACTTATGTCATATGGACTCATGAATTCCTATTTTATTTTATGGTTTATAGTTCATTTATCATTATTTACTTGATGTTCAAATCATTACAGATTTGGGCAATGAGAGCCTGTTAAGTTGGCTTTGATGTTTTTTCTATCTGCCTCCATCTTTCTTTGAGCACTTTTTTACTTAATGATGTAATAAAATGTTCCAGCTTATATGATTTTTTTTTTTTTGGACAGCTTTGTAATCAGCCATTTCCTTAAGGGATGCTGATTTTTTTGGGGGGAGGGGAGGAATAGAATTTAGAAACCAAAATTTGGACACTAGATATGCACATCATTATTGGAATTTCATTACTCCTACTCCCTCTCAGAGAACAGAATTAGTGAATATATGTATAAAAAAGACAAGCAAACATTTTATATATATGTATTATACATATTCATTTATATCTATTTTATTTTTTATCTATTATCTATTGAAAACCATCAGTTTACATTGTTGTCTCCAATTCTAATCCAATACCACAGTGTTCAGTCTAGTTTTATTTCCATCTATATTTGTAACTTCCTTTCTTCAGAAGAAACCTGGCTCTCATTAGCCTCATTATATCTACTCATTCTATCAATCCCTGCTGGGTGTAACCCATCATCTCTCATTACTGATGCTCTCCCCCACTTCCATGTAGACACCTTTTTCACTGCTTGGACTCCAACAGCTCACACCAGGCCACTGTCACCATTGGGGCCCTTCTCTCCCTCCTTGGGCTCTGACAACATGCCCCACACCAGGTAAACACCTGTCCATCCTGGTTAGTCTCCAACACCTGCAGCAGGCTGCCAACCACATCCCCAACCTTCTGTAAGGATGCCTGCTTGTTTAACATCTCTAGCTTTGGGGCTGAGTAAGGAAAGAAAGAACTACAAGAAAGCAGACAGGAAGGAAGGCAGGCAGGCAGGCAGGCAGGCAGGCAGGCAGGATGGTACTTTCAATTTTTAAGTTATGAATAAGAAGGAGATCTCTTCAAATGTTTAACATGCCACTTGCATTGTGTGCGCGCATACACACCTATAAAATGCAAACATCTCTAGCAATTTTGCTATAGTCATTTGCTATACATCTCTCTCTTTTCTTCAGGAGTTCTTTATATATCAGCAATGTTAATCTTTTGTAATATAATGTAATATAAGTTTCAAACATAGTTTCTGAATTTGTCTTTAGTATTTTTCTCTGATTATTTATTTATTGTTTTACTACACAAAGGTTTTTATTTTATGTAATTTATTGCTTTTTTCCTTATTGTTTCCAGATTTTGAATCAATGTTGAGGAACAGCTTCCTTTTTAAAAATGTCCTGGTTGTTTTTTTCATTGATGTCCAATTAAGGGAGTTGTTAGATTATGTTTTTGTGGGAAAAAAAAAATCTGACTCTGCCATATCACACTTTCAGCTGGAGTCCAAGAGCTGGAATCACGCTTCCTGGTACCTGGAGATCTATTAGTTTTGACAGGGAACAAAGTGCAAATGCCATGCGATGCCATCCTGATTGACGGCAGCTGTGTGGTAGATGAAGGCATGCTGACAGGTATGGTTCTGTCTCACGGCTTACAGCCTCTGCAAGCTCTCCCAGCTTCCTCCTCTATCTGAACAATAGTGGCAGAGGATGGGGCTGCTGTGGGACCTTCTCACAGTGAAGTCTTACTTAACTGTCCTGCTCTGGATGGTTCTGAGGGTTCAAATTGAAGCTGCTTTCTATGTGCTGAGTTTGATACAGTTGTAACTTACTGAGTGCTTAGCATTTTCTTCTTGAAGAAAGAGTATTGCAATCCTGTCATTTTATTTTAAAAGGCTGTAGAGATCATTAGACATTTCAGAATCAACTGTGACTTTTATGTTTAGTGTTTTCATATAAAATATATCTTCAAATAAACTTGGAGGATATGAGAGCTGTTGATGACATTCTGAAACCCAGATGGTCAAGTCCGAGCTCTTTTTGGCTTGGCTTGAACATGTCAAGAAGTTCATGACACAGGATTTGGCACATCTGCTGCTGTGAAAATACACACTAAGAATTTTGGACTAACTGTATTTCATTTTTAAACAACATGCTAGAGCTGGGAGGGACCTGAGAGGTCACTATGTCTCATGGATATGGAAGGTGAGGTCCAGAAAGGCGAAGTGACTTGTTCAAGGTCACAGTGCTTTGAGTTCTCATGCATACCTTTGAGGAGATGTTTGTCAACATTTCTGTAAGATAAAGAAGAATCATAAAGTCTTTTTCACAGATGGACCAGGGGGCTGAGAAGACACATTGACTTACTATGGTTCCCATGAAAGCCCAAATTGGATCCATTTTCCCTGGGCAGCCCAGGAAAGCATGAAATAGAGACAAGAACACACATCTTTCTTCTATTAACTTTACCAAAACACTTTTTAAATGTGTGGCATGCCAGGTTTCTTCCTATAAGGACTATGTAGATTTAAAAAAATCTCTTAGTACTGGGACTTTTGCAGTGCTAAGGACCATTTTCTTGCACAAGTGCAGCATATATATCTGACTTTGTACTGCCTACTCTGCAGAGACCAGTGGTAGGCTTTATAAGTTTTGTTTCTCCGAATGGTCCCTAATTATTTCCGTAACTTCATTCACCACCTTGTACTAACACTTCAACCTGCCCCAATCTGTCCCCACTGTACTGGTAAAAGTCACCCATGTCCCAATTGCCAAATCCAAAGGATTCTGCGGATTTCTCTTCTTATGGACATCTCTGCTGCTTTTGACTATTCTCACCCTCTCTTCCTTTGGTGAACTTTTCTCCCTAACTTTCCAAGATTGTACCTTCTCTCCAAGTTCTTCTACCACTGACGACACTATCCAGCGTCCTGTGCTACTCCTCTTCCCCTGTACTCTTCACTGGTGGTGTTGCTCAGAGCTGTGTCCTATCCCTATCCTCTTCTATCCTCACATGTGATCCCTAAGTAATCTCATCTCTCCCATAGCTTTAATCATAGTCTGTAAGGTGGGGAATCTGACTAAATGTCTCTGGCCTCTCCCCTGAAGTCCAGACCCAAATTAATAAATGCAAGACATCTCAGCAGAGCCATTCCACAAGACGTCTCCAACTCATGGTGACCAAAGGCAATTCTTCCCTCTGCTCATTTTCCCCAAGTTGGAAACCAGGAAGCCATTTTGAATTTCTCTGTCCCTATGACCTGCCAAGATAAAAAGAACTCCTCAAATTTTATAACTTCTTACCTCTTTATTTCTCAAATCCAGCACTTTCTCTCTGCTCCTACTACCAACTGCCATAGTTCAGACCTCATTCATTATGTCCAACTGGATGTCCAGCCTACAGTCTCACCAGACTTCAGTCCACTCCCATACAGCAGACAGACTGCTCTCTCTTATACACAAATATGATGTTAGTCTCCTGAAGAAAGCAGTGAAATATCTCCCCACCCCCTTCTGCCACTAATGCCTACGAAAACCATTTCAACACTTAAATATGTGCACTTGGGCCATACATGCTTTGGCTCCTACACAGGTCTCAGAGCCACTCACTCCCCAACACCCTGCATTCTGGAATGCACAACCTGCCGCTCCCCACGTAGCTATTTCTAGCCTTTCTAAGCATTCATGTGTGATGTTACAAAACTTGAAATATTTATAATACAACATTATACTTATTTGTCTGGACTATAAATCTCTTAAAAACAAGAACCGTATTTCTTTCTCCTTGTATACCCAAAACCTAGGGTTGTCCCTTCCCCCACGGCAAGCTTATAACAAACATCTACCACATGCTGAGTGAGAGCAGGCATGATTTAAAAGACTGAAGGCTCCTTACCTCACAAAACGAGATACTTGTTTTTTTATAGGAGAAAGTATTCCAGTGACTAAAACTCCACTACCCAAGACAGAGAGCTCTGAGCCCTGGAAAATGCAGAGTGAAGAAGACTATAAACGACATGTCCTCTTCTGTGGGACAGAGATTATCCAAGCCAAGGGATCCTGTTCTGGGACCGTGAAAGCAGTGGTGCTGCAGACTGGTGAGTTAGGAGCTTTTCTTTTATTTTGTTACTTTAATGAAATATTTTTGCTCCGTTTGTCTAGTGCCTTAAATTTATTAAGTAAGGAATAATCTTTAGGTAATAAGCCAAATATATATAAATTTTTATATTTTAAGTGTGAATTGTACTATGGCATATGCCTTTTTAGTAAAAATAATACTGATAACAATTACTCTTTATGTGTTTTGTGGTTTATAAACTATTTCCATGTATCAAATCAGCACAGTAAAGATGCCTTTTTCAACTTTGTATGTAAATAGGCTGAGTTCAACACAATCCAAGCAGACTTAAAAAAAAATTACACAGCTATGCACCGACAGAGCTGGACCTACATCCTAGAGCTTTTAACCCCAAATTCCAAGTTCTTTCTAACCCTAGGCAGGGTTAGCAACTGAAAGCTTGACACTGAAAAGTATTAGAAATTAAGTCCATTGGTATTTAGTGGGTCATATGGTTTAAAGTCAAGCAACGTGTGTGTGTGTGTGTGTGTGTGTGTGTGTATGAATGCTCATAAGTCATTCCCTCAAAATGATGTTATACTTGGGGGTAACTGGGTGGCTCAGTCAGTCAAGCATCCAACTCCTAATTTTGGCTCAGGTCATGATCTCAAGGTTGTGAGACCGAGCCCCACGTTGAGCTGGGTACTCAGCACAAGTCTGCTTGTCCCTGTCCTTCTTCCCCTAATTCCACTCTCATGCATGCTGTCTCTAAAATAAATAAAATCTTAAAAAAAAAAAAATGAAGATATGCTTGGAAAAGCTGTGCTCTGACCTCAGTGTGGTGGTTTCCTTGCTCTGAAATGCACTGAAACTGAAAGTAGAGAGAAGAAAGATCAGAGAGGAATAGGTTCTGAAATAGGTGTGGTGAGATATTTCCATTCCAGCACTCAGCTATTTTCCCAATTATCCTTTAATAGTCCTTGGGCTTAAGTACTGTTTAAATAACTCTAGAGAAAAACGAAGGCCATGTTGAGGCTTAGAAGAGCACTAGCAGTAGGATATGTCATCCTGAGAATGTGGAGTGTGTGTTTGTTACTCCAGGGTTCAACACTGCAAAAGGTGACCTCGTGAGATCCATTCTCTACCCGAAGCCAATGAACTTTAAGCTCTACAGGGACGCCATCATGTTTCTCCTGTGCCTTGTGGGGACAGCAACCATCGGGATGATCTATACTTTGTGTGTCTATGTGCTCAGCGGGGTAAACTGCTTTTGTTCTTTTACTACATGCACACATACACTTGTCTATGTATAATTTACACTCTGCGTGTTAACCTTAATCTCAGGCATGGTTTACAAACCTGGGAAACAAAGCCGAACACTGAAACCTGCACATACACTCACAGTTCCCCAATATCAGAGACTGATCACTAAGTAATATCATAAAAATAAGATCCAGAGGGACAAAACACCGTTTACTGAGCTATCAACATGCCTCTCATCTGGAACACTTCTCCTTACGCTATTTTTTCATTTTCAATCTGAGAATTTATTTATCCCAATAATGTAGTTATTAAATAAGGAATTTAAAATAAAACCCAGATACCCAATTTCGGTGATGTCATGGCAGATTTGTACATTGTTCTTTGCTGGTTGTAGTATGAAGCATTACAAACTTTTCCATTGGACTTTGAAAAATTTATGAAAGCCATACTCTTTGACCCTCTTTTATCATTTCTGGGAATTTGACCAAAAAAGTAAAAAAAAACCAAAAAAAAAAAAAAAAGAAGAAGAAGAAGGAGAAGAAGAAGAAGAAGAAGAAGAAGGAAAAAAAGCCATCTGCACCATGCTATTCAGGATTGCTTTACCTGTTAATGCTGAAGAGTGACTTTTTGTCCCAGGAGCCTCCAGAGGAGGTGGTGAAGAAAGCCCTCGATGTCATCACAATTGCGGTGCCTCCTGCTCTGCCTGCTGCTCTGACCACGGGCATTATCTATGCCCAGAGGAGGCTGAAGAAGAGAGGCATCTTTTGCATCAGCCCACAGAGGATCAATGTATGTGGACAAATAAACCTCGTCTGCTTTGATAAGGTATGTGTATGTCGTCCTCGTGCCCATCACCATTTTATCATCATTGTCATCTGGTGCAGGTTCTTCATACTCTTCTGGGGCAGGAAACAGAGGACGTGGCATTGGACTTCATTTTTTCTCTGGTTGGGTGTGTGATCTAGGAAAGGCACATCTCTTGGGCTCTCAGATGCTGGGGTTTAGAGGAGGGAGAATAGATACAGAATAGTGGCTCTTTTACACTCCTTCCAGCTCCAACATTCTATAAAACACAGTTAATTAAAATAGCATTCTGTCCCTCCTGGTCAAAGCTCCATACAAAGAAAAAACTGAAACCTTTTACTATGGTCCCTGCTCTATCCCTAATGCTAAGAATATTGCCTAGTGTATAGTCAGTGCTCAATAAATGTTTATTGATTTAATGAATCAGTAAAAAAAAGGAAGAGTTTATTTAACTGTGTTTTACTCGGTCAATTGGACTTGGTTAAAGGAAAACCCCAATCAAATCCATACTGTATTTTCGCATCTGTTGTATATTGCTTAAAATTATCCTTGATTATTTGCCAGTTATTCATAACCAGCCTCTTAATCTACCTTCTCTGGAATGTATTCTTTTGGTCTGTGTCTGTACTAGTTGAGGGTGGGAGCTGTGAGGGGGAAGATGGAGAAGATGGGCTGGGCTGTTTTGTGCCCAGGTCTTCATTTGTAAAGATGACTGATGACTGCAGAGAGAGGTCATTGCCTTTGAAAGAAGTTTAACCTTACTCACAGTTCTCCTGGTAAGGAGAGGTACTCACGGCTTGCCATGTGGGGCCACAGGAGGAATGTCAGTCTCTGATGAGATAGCAAAGCAGGAGTGAGGGGAATGCTCGGGCCATGGTCTTTATTGGGATCTCTCCAGGGAAGGCAAGTCAGGCCATAGCTTATGATTGGTTACTTTGAATGATTTGGGTGAGCTTTGGGCTATAGGGTTGTCTCTGGCACTTGGCCCTGGGATGAGGAAGGCAGAGAACTATTGCCTTCTGAGGAGGAAGGGCCAGGTAGAAGATTGGTTAGTTCACATGTCAAACACATGCTGAATTCCTTGCTGCTTCTGTAAGAATTGACCAACCCCAGAGAAGCAGTCTTTAGAAGAAGTCTAAACCTTCCTTAGGAAGGTTTTAAGATGTCAAATCATCATAATATAGATAGAGAAAATTAATGCGATTCAAGGGTATTAGAGGCAGGTGGACATGGGGACACAAATGGATTCAGAAAAGCAATAAGGCTTGTGGTTCTGGCCAGAGCAAGACATTAGTAATGGGAGGCACCTTTAACATCTGGCTAAGAAATTCATACATATTCTTTAGGGAGTGGGGGAAACTTTGAGGTGTTTTTTGTTTTTGTTTAATTGTTGTTCTCTCTTTTCTTAATTTATTTTTTATGTGACAAAATGTACATTAACCATTTTAGCCATTTTTAAGTGGCTCTAAGTACATCACCACTATCCAACTTCAGAATTTTTCCATCTTCCCAAACTGAAACTCTGTGCCTATTAAACAGTACATTGGGAGTTTTGATGACAGAGAATTAAGGGGATCAGAGTGGTATTATATAATTACTAGAATCTCTGAGTGATCTACCAAGATCAGAAGGTTAACATGGCTCTTGCCAGCATCTCAGTATTATTTTGTGATCAAACTAGCATAACAGAGAAGGCTGTTCTATTGATGGGATCATCTCCTCCTTGGACCAGGCAAAAGAAGCAGGGGTGGGAAAGACCATTAGGATATGAATTTGAATAAAATAAGTAATAATTATGAGTAATTATCATTACAATTTGGTCCTACTCTATGTCAGACATTAAGTTAAGCACTTTGAATTACCCCATTTGATGTTCATAACAACCTTATTTGATTATAAGCATGTTACAGGTAAAGGCTCTGATGTTCAAACGGATTAAATAATTTGCCCAGGTCATACAGCTGGTGTTGGAAATGAATCCAAGCTCTTCATCGTTATCCTGCACTGAGAGAAATATCAATAAGCACCTTTTTTTTAGTGTCAAATAGCAAACCATCTGTTTAGAGCAGGGACAAAGTCTATTCCCATTACTTATTTCTGATGACATACTTTTTATCTTCTGCTCGGTGAGCCTTCTTACAGGCTTACCAAAACTTTCTCCATCCATTTAGTCTACCATTAGATCCTCAAAACCAGCCTCTGGAGTAATAAGGCAGAGACTGCTTTCTTCCTTTTATCTCCAGCTTGGCCAGACAACTGGTGTTAGCTCATCAAAGCTTCTGCCTGGGACCCCAGGCACCCACTTCATTGTGCCTTTCCTTGAAGTGCTGATCTCAGTAATGTGTTCGTTACATATATTTCCCTGTTAAAACATACCTCATGGGTTGTCATTATAGGGCTGCAGAATCTTCAGAGTAAACCCAGTGCTTGTTTTCGTTTAGACAGGCACCTTAACAAGGGATGGTTTGGATCTCTGGGGAGTCGTGCCCTGCGATAGAAGTGGGTGAGTACCCTGGACCGAATGCATTTCTCTTTCCCCAGAAAAAATATTTTCTCTTGAAAATTAATAATGAAGACATTTTGACTTTGGCTTTGGAGCAGTGGTTGCCATAGTATCTTCATGGAATTTCTCTTTTTAAACACTTCCAAGTCTTCTTAAAACATGCATATCTCCCTCCACCACCCTCTGCCCTGTGCCACTCACAAACCTAGGAGATGGAGGGGTTTCAAGTCCTTGCTAAAATGTAATTTGCAAAAAAAGTTAAAAAATATATAATGTACTTTGCTGTCATCATATTAGCCAGGGGCTGAAGTTGACCCCTGGGTACCTCTTTGGAGAATACCAGGACACTGTCCCTTCGGGAAGTACGTTTCTTGCACAAACTGAAGCCTTCAGGTGTGCCAGGAGGAAGAACGCTGCACGGATCTCGGTACACTGAGATGCAGGAAGAGGAACACCTGTGGAGCCATATCTAATGCACTTATTTTCCCTGGTACTGTAATTCTGGAAACTCCACCTTTTGGTTGCCAGAAACTCCTCCTATCTGGCCAGAAAAGACTCATTTTTTAGCAATTTTCAGCTCCCGGTGGTAAGGTTGGCACAGCTCTCTTGTGTGGCCCTCTTGTGGCCATGGCTGACTTTGCAGCCTTGGCTGCTTTTTCTAGCTGCTACCTTCACTTGGGATCAGGAAACATTTGACATTTACATTTTGGTTGTTTTTTTTTTAATGAAAGTGTTTCCCTTTCACACTTAACAACTTTCGCCGCAAAAACATATATTACTAAAGGGTACATTATGGTTCTTCTTCGCTATGCAGATGACTTAGAATTTTCCCATAAAAGATTTTAATTATATGTGTTTAATACATTTTCATATTAAAATATTATTTATAGACAGGTCTCTTTCTGGGGTTAAAAAATAAATCTTGGTGTTTCTAGCCACTTACGTTCACAAAAGAAACCTCTTCTAAGTATTAAACATTCTAAAGTTCTTTCCATTTTCTCTCAAAGAGAGATTTAGATATATACCTAGTCATCCTGTTAACTAGTGTGTTTCTACCTCAGCTTCTACAAAAAAAAAAAGTATGCATTTATTCAAATATGCAGACATCCAGAGAGCCGTTTCTTTTTTTTTCTCTAAAGATTTTATTTATTTATTTGTCAGAGAGAGAGAGAGAGAGAGTGCGCTAAAGTAGGCAGGGTAGCAGGCAGAGGCGGAGAGAGTAGCAGGCTCCTTGCTGAGCAAGGAGCCCCTTGTGGGACTTGATCCCAGGACCCTGGGATCATGACCTGAGCCAAAGGCAGAGGCTTAACAACTGAGCCACCCAAGTGCCCCAGAAGTGTGTTTCTTATTTACATTTGTGTTCCTAGTGCTGTGGCATTATACCAGGTACATACAGCACATGGATAACAAATGTTTGTTTCATTTATTTTTCATTTACTTATTTTTTAAGATTTTATTTATTCATTTGACAGAGATCACAAGTAGGCAGAGAGGCAGGCAGAGAGAGAGGAAGGGAAGCAGGCTCCCTGCTGAGCAGAGAGCCCGATTCAGGGCTCGATCCCAGGACTCTGGGATTGTGACCTGAGCTGAAGGCAGAGGCTTTAACCCACTGAGCCACCTAGGCACCCCAAATGTTTGTTTAATTTAAAATGAACTTACTATGTTCCATTTTTTAAATACTTTTCTACTTTTTGAATTGACATCATCTTACCTATAAAACTTTGAATTTCTAAAAGCAGCTTGTCAAATTTAAATAAAAATAATTGATATAATGTTTAGGTTATGGACTAATTAATTAGGTCTGCCACTCTTTCTTCCTCCTTTCCTTCCTTCTCTCAAAAAGGTCAAAGTTGGCTTTAATGACTAAAAGGGAAGTTTAAAATTTGAAAAAAATTGATATATTTAATTAATAACAAAGAATACCTATTCAATATTAGGTAAGAAGTAGCCATCTGACTTATAGGCTATTAAGTATCTTCTTGTAAGAGGTAAGCTCATCTTTAATAATTCTTATTTTTTCCCAAAGACTTGCCTACTGTGCCAGCTACCTCCAGAACCATCAGAAGACTGCCTGAGGCTATTTGAGTGGGCTCAACCATAAGCATTCAAATAAGAATATAAAGACAAGGATGAGAGAGAGTTCTATTTATTTGTTGAGTAAACCAGGGTTTGGCCCAATCCTCAGGAACTCAGAAACACATATTCCGAATTACACAGTGATGAGAGTGTGTGTGTGTGCTATCTTAAAAATAAGATCCTCCCCCACCTTATCTGTGTTTGCTTTCCAGCATGAGCTTAAGCTTTTGTGTTAATCACATTGCTGGTGATTGCTTAATGTTTACTGAAATACTAGGGAATATGTTGAAAAGCACTAGGATAACCTGAACTTTTGATATAGAATGATAGGTACAATCAACAGGTTCGGTAATCAGCCAAGAGGTTTTTGAACTTGTAGGGAAGCTTGAATGAGAAAGCCAGGAAGAAATATGGCTGAATTATGAGATAACACTGTGATGTGGTTGCTTTCAAGAAGAAAAGGCTAGAGCAACCTAAGGCCATATTTAAAGAATTACAATGTTCTTATCATCAGAAATAATAATCTGAACCTGGAGACTGCATTTGAAGGCAAACTATGGCAAATACAAACTTTCCCAATAAAGAGCAATTAGGATGGTGAGAGGTCTGGAATCTGAGCATTGGAGGCACCGCTAGAGGTTCCTGTGCAGCCCCAGGGGAAGAAACGGTAATAGGGATATGCTCAAACTAAGGGTGATACTTCTAGTTTTTTTCTATACTTCTGGAACTAAACCAGTAGCAGAGAAAGAACAGGGAAAAGAAAGACCTTGAAAGAACCCAGAGACCTTTCTCATACTTGCTGAACTTATAGAAGGACGATGGTTAAATGAAGCACTCTTAATCTGGGGTTGTGGATTGGAGAATGGGTACTAATGTAACAAACCATGCTAAATTAATTTTTAAATGGATATTTACTTCCAGAAGCTCCATTGTGGCATGGAGGGAGAGGACTGAAGCCCCTTTTCTTTTCTCCTTTAGCTTCCAGGAAATCCACAGCTTTGCCTCGGGCAGGTCTTTGCCATGGGGCCCGCTGTGTGCCGCCATGGCCAGCTGCCACTCTCTAATCCTTCTCGATGGGACCATCCAGGGAGATCCTCTGGATCTCAAGATGTTTGAAGCCACCACCTGGGTAAGACCCTGCTCTTCAAGGAAGCTCAGAAGCATCTTCAATGCCAGGACAACACAGATTCAGTACTTAAAAGTATGAGGTTTACAATAAAGAGTGGCATGTGGTAGTGACATGCAAACTAATCTAAGCCTGTTTTCCATTGTCATTGTACAACGTGGCTAATAATATTATCTCCATTGTAGGGTTATTGTGAGCATTACATAGAATGATGCATTTAAAAAAAATCCCTGGTAGTGTGCCTGGACTATTACAGGTTAATAGGATTGATGTAATTATGATTATTATATATCTTCCAACTCTTGAGACAATATAATTATTGTATAATTATTTTCCAACTCTTGAGCAAGGTCTGGTTTTAAAGTTTTCTAGAACGTGGGGATTAGGAAACAGCACTGTCTTCTGTGCTTAGGATAACTCATTGTTCCTGAAAGTTTTATTCTTATTCATTAAATATTGATTTTGTTTCCAAAGCTAAAAACAAGAGAAAGGGAAACCATGAAAGAACTTTTGTTGAGACTTTGAAAGAGATTTAAGAACAAACGGTGTAGTTCAGGACTTCCCAGTTCTGGTTCTGGTTTTGTTCTGTAGTCTGGCTTCCCAGTTCTAGTTTTGGCTCTATTCTGCTTCACCCTGTGAAGTCAGCCCTCTTGTTGGGCCTCTGGCTCTCATGACCTTAAAACAACGGGGCTGAATTAGATCAGCAGTGTTCCTATAAAGCAGACAAAACAAAACAAAGCAACCAAACTGAAATCTTTTCTTAAAAGGAAACCGTATTTGCATAGCTGTCTATCACACCCAGGGGTCATCTCAACCTGATGTACTATATGGTGGCTAACTGAATATAATAATAATAATAAAAAAACTACAAAAATTATCTTTCTTCACACACAAAAAGGAAACCTTATTCAGAAGTATTCTATAAAACACCAACAGCTGGAGTTGCTGTGGTTGAGTATCACGTGAAGTGTGGGAAGCGCCCTCCACCTACGTAGCCACAAGCCCACCCCTACCCCCTGCATCCTGGTGCAGCTCTAGACCCCCGTGGTACATGTGTTAGCCCTGCTGAAGGAGGCAATCTCTAGAGTCCCTTCCAGCTCTGGTGCGGCATGGTTCTGTAGCAGGCCGAGGTAACCTTGCCAGTCCCCCATCCTTCCTGGGTTACTGTTTCTGTATCTTTAAGTAGGAATTACAATTTCCTGTCCGAGTTTTTTTTTTTTTTTTTCAGCTGCTGGCTGATATGATTACAAAGCATTTTGACATCTTTGGGTAAAAGGTTCCTTTGACTATAATTTAGTGTTATTATTTTAGCAATGACTGAGTGTTTACTGAACACTAGCCATGCCTATCACAGTCCCTGCCCTGCCTGGCCCTGAGGACTATTGATTCAAGTTATATAGAGAGGGAAGGGCAGGAACAGCCTCAAACTCCAGGAAAACAAAGACCCTTGCACAAAAGTCTGGCTCTTCATGCTCACTATTTTCAAGTTAAGCTCTTCAAAAGTGGAGAATGAAGCTTTATGCAGCATATTCCAACAGAGAAAGCAGGATAAATTGCATGAATAATTCAGAAGTATCTGCCCTTCAAGTTCTGCTGTTTTTCCGATGCACTTTCTCCCCCACGTAGTGAAATAAGTCTCGTTCACCTCCATCTAGCTGAGGGAGGAGACACCGAGAGTACATTGAGGTGGTCTCAGGATTTTCTCAAGGGGCGAGTTTGAGCCTGGTATTAGTGGATGATGAGAAATAAATAAATCTCTACAATGAAATATCCCATTTGTGAAATAGGAGATGGCTATTTCTGGGGACGATTTCCACATCACGGGAGTGCCAGCACATGCCATGGTAGTTAAGCCCTGCAAAACAGCCAGCCAGGTAAGACTTGCCTGCTATTTGCCCCATAATGCTCAAATTTAAAGGGAAAATCTCATCAAGCCTACAGTTTTGAAAGGGCACAGATATGTCTTCTTTGAATTCCGTATGTGAAAATTGCTCATACCTTGGTTCCCGTATCTGCTAAAATAAGAATAGAGGGAGGAGTAATTAATTCCTAATATCTAAGAGCTATGTCGGCATGTCCCTCTCCATTCCTCATCCCTCAACCAGGTCCCAGTGGAAGGAATCGCAATCCTGCATCAGTTCCCATTCTCATCAGCACTGCAGAGGATGACAGTCATTGCCCAAGAGATGGGGGGTGACAGGCTGGCATTCATGAAAGGTGCACCAGAAAGGGTGGCCAGCTTTTGCCAACCTGAGACAGGTAAGTGAATAGATTTGTAGTACAATTGACAAATCTGTATTTCCAGCCCAAATGTGTCCCACCAACACTAAATCTATAAATCTAATTGCCTACTGGTCATTGCTAATGTGGTGACTCAACTGACATCCCAAACTCAATACTTATCTTTCTTGCTTCCTATATTTTCCATCTTGGTGAGTGGTACTACTAATTTACACTGCTACCCCTAATTTAGGATTTGTCCCTGATTCCTCCCTCTCTTCATAGCCTCTGTTTTGTCAACTGCTAATCCATGGCACTGTCACTCCATTAGCTCAGTCCCTCATCATCCCTCCACCGGATCCCTTCAGTATTTGGTGAATCGAACTCCAGCCCTGGTCTCCCCTACTCTGATTCACCTTTTATACTGGGACCAGATTGGTTTTTCCACCACATACTGTAACCATGTTGTCACTTTCTAGTTCTTATTCTTCTGGTTGCTTTCCCACAGGCTCCAGGATAGTCTCATACTCCTTTAGAATCATATCTAAGACCTTCATGATCTGACTCTCATCATACTTTCCAGATATGCTTTACCAGTACTGTCCTCCCCTCTTGTGCTTCCCTGAGCTGCACTCACTACTCAAGTCTTGATGTATTGTGTCTCCATGTCTGAGCATATGGTGCTTCCTTCGTCAAAAATGCCTTTCCCCTTCCTTCATCTACCCACTTCCTGCCAGTATGATATAAGCTCCTCAAAGTGTTTCCATAGCACATTGCAATTATTTGGATCCCTTGCAATGGCAATGACCTCATTCTACCCTCAGAGACAGAGATCTCTAGAGCAGGGCCTGCAGTTTAGTCTCTGCAGGCTCGACACCTGACACATACATTATAGGTAGACTCTCCATAAATGTTTGTCGGTTAAACTGGAGAAAAAAGAATTACATGCTTTCCCCATCTTTTTTACATTTTTCTCCCTTCCTTCCTTCCTTCCTTCCTTCCCTCCAATGCTTCATTCTCATTTCAGTTTCACTGGATCCCAAGAGGTCAGTCCTGACAACGCAATTATGTTTAGGGTTCCCACGGACTTATTTGTGTATCTTTTTTAGAAGTGTGTTTTCTTGGGAAATGATCGAGTTTGTTTGTAAAGAATTTCTCCACCAATACTGACCGAGTAAATGTTGCATACTAATCTTACATTATTTTCTGAACAGTACCAACTAGTTTTGTTAGCGAACTTCAGAGTTATACAACACAGGGCTTCCGGGTGATAGCACTGGCCTACAAGAAGCTAGAAATGGATCATCACAGCACTGCCCTGACAAGGTAAGTGGGAAGGATTTGATAAGGCAGAATGGTTTGCTGGGCAGTGGACTAGGCAGGGGACTGAGCACCATAGCTTCCTGGGATTTTGTGTGCATAAAGCTTGGTAAACAAGGATATAGTCATTCTTGTCCTGCCCCAATCACAAAGCTGATGTGAACACTGGGAGAATTTATGAAAAATAGCTGTATAAACTACAGAATATGTTCTAATTTGACACAAACATGAATATAACCAGTGTTTCAGAGAGTTTGAAATTATGGTTATGACCTCATTTTAAACCAAATACAAGTAGCTATTTTTTTTTTAGAGTTAGTGAATTTGTTGAGTTAGTAAACATAACATTTGTCTGAAAAAAATTCTTGATAAATACTCAACTTAATGAACAATAGAGCTTAGATTTAATCCGTGATCCAGATAATGTTTGTAAGAAAGCAAGAAAAGTTACACAGGAGCCCTTCTAGAGAAAGTTTTGATATGTAAAAGGAGTGCTTAAAAACTAAAATGGACTGGAGTATTTATTAGCTCAAATTTGTTGCTTTATTTTCCATGGGTTAGAGATTACTGTGTTTATTTCGCCTCCACTGCCATGTCCAATACTCTGTGTCAGCTTCTATGGGTAACACTGCTGTGGAGATAATCAAGGTTTATTTTGTTATTTTGGATTTTAAATTTGTGAGATCTAACATAATTGTGTTCAACCCTGTCAGATTCATATTACTGTAATTATATTTTGTACCACTTCCTTTAAGATAAAATTCATATGTAATATGATCTGCACATGCTCTATAAAAATAATTATAATGCCCTGTCCTATAGTAAAAATAGAAGCAAAAGTACAATTCTTGACAAAAAGTAATAATTCAGTATTTGCTCAGCTGACTCCAGCAAATCATACTGAAGCAATATACTCTTGCACCTGTGTGTAGAATCACGGGGTGGGGGGTGGTTGCAACAGCTAAGAGTGTCGACTGATACAGTGTGTTTACATATTGAAATCTCAAATACCACCAGCAGTTGTGCTGTCAGTGAGATGACTCTGAAATAGTTACAAATTCTTAGTTAAACTGAATAAAACTGTATAATCTCTTTTCAATTTACATGGTAGTTACATTCCTAAAAAGTTCAACAGGATATAAAAAATGTGCAAAAATGTTTTGTGCTTATATGTAAAACACAGCAAGGGAAAGTATAAAAATGTATATTTGTTTAAGATAATATTAGTAGTATTAGATATATTATAATAGTACAGTATACTATATACTGTAATAATAGTACAATATAAACTGTATAAGCCTATGCTGGTTTAGGAAAGTATAAATGATATTTTTATGTCCATGAATGTCCTGTAAAATATTCGAAAGGCATGTGGGATTCAGGGGAGTTCTTTACTGTGCATTGATCATTGCAGAAAATCTTTGACAGATGCCTGAAAATTTTCCAAAATGTCCTCTAGAGGCAGTACCACTCCTGTTGAGAATCACCCAAATGCCCCAACTCAGTCATTTTGTGAATGGGCAGAGAGGGAAGTAGCACATTGAAAATCCCTGAGTATTGGATTCCTGTGACCACCTTAGATTGACCCTCAAAACTTGGGCTATTACAACTCTGGGTATTTACTGTAATTTAATCAATACAGGCCATTCACATAAAGTCAGAGAGCTCCAAGTGAACTATGAGATTGGATGTCACATTTTAAAGAAAAGAAATCTTGGGTCCAGGATATACCAGAATTGGGAATGGAACTTTGTTTCTTGAGAACCTGTTGACAGATTTATATCAGGACTCTGGCTGCCATGCTGCTGCTTCTGATTATTATAATAAAATATTTGCATATCTTCACATTTCAAAATAATGGCTTTGGGGCTGCTGCAGATAACAATGCACTAATGGTGAAGGCACATAAGCCGTAGGGAATAGTGAGGGCTGGGTACAGAGGAGAGTATACGGCCTGGCTAACAACACTGAAATTCCAATGTTTTCAAAGTCTGGTAATATCTAAACACTTCTAGGATCTCATAGGATCTAATCTTAAGTCGTCGCTTTGCCCCCCATGTGCTAAAGCCACCACACCACTACATCTATTCCTAGCTAAGCTAATTTACCTAATTACCTTTGCTAATCCCTAATTAGAGCAGAACAGTCTTTCTTTCGAGGGGGATGTGTGTGCGAGTGTGTGTGAGTTTACTCAAAGTGCTTTCAGCACTGATATTATAATTTCTTTGAGTGTTCTTGGCCCACTTTTTGCATATTTCAGCCTTTGCATGGATTTTAAGAACATGAAGTGTAATTTCACGGATGACAATGCTTCTTCCGTGTTACAGTCCCCATTCTTTATCATTTTTGGATGTTTCAGGAGGACGTATGATGTCTGTGCAGAAGCAGGAAAAGATAGAATAGTGATTCCAAGTTGCAGACCTTGAGATCCCTCAAGGGACCACTTCTCTACTTCTTGGTATTTCTTTACTTCATATCGAAACTCATGAAAAGAAGGATCATGTAGTGTTAGAGCTAGAAGAGATCTTGGCAATCCATTAGTTTTACCACCTTCTTTCACAAAATAAGAAATAGATGACCAAACAAAGAAAGTGATTTGCCCATGGTCATACAGCAAGATAGTGGCAGATCTGGGATTAGAAGTATAGTCTCCTGATCATTTTATATTGAATCCTATGAACACCATGTGCCAGAGGAACCAGAAACAGGAGTGCCAAGTAGGTTGCAGAGTATGTCAGATGGTAGACCCTGTGGCCATTTTTTTGACCCAGTCTGATGCCTTGTGGTTGGCTTATGTCATATCATGTCATATCATATCATGTCCTTGGATACAAGGACCACTAGAAAGATTGGAGGACCTTAATCAGGGATGAACTAAGTTATAATTCAAATCTCTTCTGTTTCAGGAAAGTTTCTCCAATCACTCCACCTAAAAATGATTATATTTTCCTCTCTGATTCCATAGGACAATTATCTGTAGATCATGGTACTTTTCTCAGCCTTCCATACAACTGAGGTGATCAAGTCTAATGTTGTCCTGTTGGTTGAACATGAAATCTTTGGAGTTAGGGCTATTGTAGTTTCTGCATATTCTCTTCCCCTTTTCCTTAGCCCTGTTCCTTTCACCTAATTAGGTATTTAGTAAATGGTCAGTTACTTGACCGACTGGCTTTACTTTCCATAAGAATCCTCTGACAGCAGAATTTCTGAAAAAGGAAATAAATTTTCCTAGGCTGCCTATCAAAAAAATGGTCACATCAGACACCAGAGCACTTCAACTAAGGGTACCCTGTCTGAGCACTTTCTCTGTGCTGGGCACCATGTGCATGTTGTTGAGCCTATTGTCGAACCAGGCAAGCTAGTCCTCAAGTTGTTGAGACAGATCAGATAACAAAGAATGGTGAGTGATAAAGGAACAAATAAAATGCATGCTACTCTGAGGCGGAGGTAAGATGCAGAGGGAGCAATTATTTCTACCTGGGGAGGTTTTTATGGGGAGGCCCATGTGAAGTGGCCCTCAAAATATAAATGGGAAGTTTAAATGGCAGATCACAGGGGAACTTACAACCTTCTCCATGAAATAAGAAAGAGTGTCTTATGGCAGTCCAGAGCAAATGTTTCGAGATGGTTGAGTACAGAGCATAGCCATGGTGGCTGGGTCACCTTGTCTGGACGTTAGGGTAGTTGAAGAATTTAGTGATAGAGAAAACTGAAAAATTAGTTTGGAACCAGATTATACAGAGACTTAATTCCAGGTTCCAAAGAACGGGGAGTTCCTGGGGTGAATAGTGCAAACTCTGCCGACTTCCTTCCAGCCATTCTGGTAGAGATGTTAGTAGTGTCTTAGGAGCATGACTAACTTCAGCCCCTGCCCCTGGCTGACATGAGGCCCAGCATTGAGACACCCATGGCAAGCAAGGCCAGGTGCTCTCCTGGGTGCTGCTTTCATTCATATTTCAGCCAGAATTAGGCAATACTGGTGTCTTGCTCTTGTGTCTGCTAGAAATGTCTGGGTCTCAGATAAATGAATCGTGGGAGAATTTTTGGGTCCCCAAAAATTGGGTCCCTGAAAAGTACCCCCAAATTACTCCCCTGCACTTAATCCCGTGGAATGTCTTGGTGAGGGTCTTGTGATTGGGAGCCTCAGAGGCCCCACTTCCTTGCAGAAACATTCACACCTTATTCTGGATTCTGGAGAAATTGGCATTTTGTTTTCTTGTTCTTGAGCCTCACTTACTTTTTACGATGTTCAGTACCAGAGCTAGAACTCCTCCCAGGTGGTTGCTAACAGGTGAGGTGCTGGAAATCAGACTAGTCACAGCAAAGAAAGAAGACTTTGAATCATTTGATTCATTCTCTATGAAAGTTAAAGCAAATATTTCGCTTAATAAATACTCTCTTTTCCAATTGATTCAGTCAGAGTAAATGTCTCGGTGTCCTTCCTGTCCTCTCCCGTCTTCTTTCTGGGTATTTCCTGGCATGTATGTAGTAGTTAAGGAATGGTGCTTAAGCCGGTGAGTGGGAACCACTCTGACAGGAACCTATTTGTCTTTGTTTTTGTTTTGCTTTCCCAAAGAAAGACCACAATGTGCTATTTCTGCTCATTTATATGTATATATTTCCAGGGACAAAGTAGAATCAGACCTGATATTTCTGGGATTGCTGATCTTGGAGAATCAGCTGAAGGACGAGACAAAACCTGTTCTGGAAGAACTCATCTCAGCCCGGATAAGGACTGTAATGGTCACAGGTATAGAACAACATGTATGTGAAAACAGAAAGAATTTGATACAGAAATAGGCAAGATTCACTCATCTCCCAAAGATTGTTGACAACCTCCTGTGGGTTAGACACCATTCTAGGTACTGGAGATTGGCAACAGAAAATGCAAAGTTACTGTTTTCACCAAGTTTCTATTTAGGTGAGGTGAGATAGAAAATCAACCAATCAGGCGAGCAAATAAGCAGCTAGCTTTAAGAGTTATGAGGTACATGAAACAAAACAGAGTGATATGGTAAAGTGTGTCTGACTGGCTAATATATATGTGGTATCCTCTCAGAGAGGGGTCATTTGGGATAACACCTGCCTGATAAGAAAATGTGAGCCATGCGAAGATGGTGATTTTTGTTAAATATTAGAGGAAGAGAAATGTTCAGTCGGTGTGGTCTGCAAACTACACGGAAGGCCCATCAATAATGAGGTCTATGATTCCGGTGGTAAAAACTGCTATACCCGTACTTCTTTCAAACCCCAAATCACACAAACAGGGAAGGGGTGAGAAAGGATCATGCAAGAGAAGTGTGTGGAATTTCTTAATGAATCCTTCTAAGTGGAACTGATGATGTCTTAATGCATTCATTTGTTTGAGTGTGTGCCTTTCTTCCCCTGCTTTTAAGTCTGTCCGATGCATTTAAATGGTGATAATCGTGTCACCAAGATACAGTATTACCCCACCAGAGCCCATATTCCCCAGCCCACTTTCCCTGAACCCAGGGTCACTGCAGAGAACTCTAGGATACTTCTATTTTCCCCTCCGTACCTCTCCATCTTCCATTCTATTACCGCAATCCAAGAGACTTTGGGATCACTTTTACTCTATCCCTTTTTAGTCCCTCAATCCAATGTCTAGGCATTGCTGAGTTAATTTACTACTTCGAATTCCCCTTATGTTATGACCCTTCTGTTTCAAAAATATTTATTTAGCACTTATTTGACACATTCTCACAATCTATCCTTAGTATTGAAATAAAAATACATCATTCTGTACACTACCTCTTCTCTTCTGCCCTCACATAGGAATTTCTGTTCTCTTTCTTGGCTCGCTTGGTTAAATTTTTTTCCCAAGACTTGTCCTTGGATAGGATGGAAGGGTGATATGTTCTCTGAATTCTTACATATCTCAGATATCTTTATTCACTCTGACAGGTGAATGATATCTTGCCTGGGTATAGGATTTGGGGGTTATAGTCTTTTTTTTTTTTTTCTCAATGATCTCAGATATTATTACAAGTCTAACGTCTGTCCACTGTAGTTAATTTGTTCTCTTCCCTATATAATCCTTTTCTTTAATTCTGGAGTTTAGAAATGCTACCGGGGTATGTCTATATGTTTATCTTTTTCATTAATTGAATATGGAACATAGTGAGCCTTTTTTTTTTTTTTTTTTTTTTTTTTTT